CTCTCTCTCTCTCTCTCTCTCTCTCTCTCTCTCTCTCTCCCTCTGGCTCTTTGTTGCACTCTCACCAGCTGTTCAAACACAGGCCCGCAGTCAAGCTCGTCCGTGACAAAGTGGCTCACCTATTGCGGCGCCTCTGAAGGTTTTTTCCCTCTCTCTCTCCTCACTCACTCCCGCTCGCGCTCTCACCAGCTGTTCAATGATGGGCCCGCAGTCAAGCTCGTCCGTGACAAAGTGGCTTACCTATTGCGGCGCCTCTGAAGGTTTTTTCCCTCTCTCTCTCCTCACTCACTCCCGCTCGCACTCTCACCAGCTGTTCAATGATGGGCCCGCAGTCAAGCTCGTCCGTGACAAAGTGGCTCACCTATTGCGGCGCCTCTGAAGGTTTTTTCCCTCTCTCTCTCCTCACTCACTCCCGCTCGCGCTCTCACCAGCTGTTCAATGATGGGCCCGCAGTCAAGCTCGTCCGTGACAAAGTGGCTCACCTATTGCGGCACCTCTGAAGGTTTTTTCCCTCTCTCTCTCCTCACTCACTCCCGCTCGCGCTCTCACCAGCTGTTCAATGATGGGCCCGCAGTCAAGCTCGTCCGTGACAAAGTGGCTCACCTATTGCGGCGCCTCTGAAGGTTTTTTCCCTCTCTCTCTCCTCACTCACTCCCGCTCGCGCTCTCACCAGCTGTTCAATGATGGGCCCGCAGTCAAGCTCGTCCGTGACAAAGTGGCTCACCTATTGCGGCGTCTCTGAAGGTTTTTTCCCTCTCTCTCCTCACTCACTCCCGCTCGCACTCTCACCAGCTGTTCAATGATGGGCCCGCAGTCAAGCTCGTCCGTGACAAAGTGGCTCACCTATTGCGGCGCCTCTGAAGGTTTTTTCCCTCTCTCTCTCCTCACTCACTCCCGCTCGCACTCTCACCAGCTGTTCAATGATGGGCCCGCAGTCAAGCTCGTCCGTGACAAAGTGGCTCACCTATTGCGGCGCCTCTGAAGGTTTTTTCCCTCTCTCTCTCCTCACTCACTCCCGCTCGCATTCTCACCAGCTGTTCAATGATGGGCCCGCAGTCAAGCTCGTCCGTGACAAAGTGGCTCACCTATTGCGGCGCCTCTGAAGGTTTTTTCCCTCTCTCTCTCCTCACTCACTCCCGCTCGCGCTCTCACCAGCTGTTCAATGATGGGCCCGCAGTCAAGCTCGTCCGTGACAAAGTGGCTCACCTATTGCGGCGTCTCTGAAGTTTTTTTCCCTCTCTCTCTCCTCACTCACTCCCGCTCGCACTCTCACCAGCTGTTCAATGATGGGCCCGCAGTCAAGCTCGTCCGTGACAAAGTGGCTCACCTATTGCGGCGCCTCTGAAGGTTTTTTCCCTCTCTCTCTCCTCACTCACTCCCGCTCGCACTCTCACCAGCTGTTCAATGATGGGCCCGCAGTCAAGCTCGTCCGTGACAAAGTGGCTCACCTATTGCGGCGCCTCTGAAGGTTTTTTCCCTCTCTCTCTCCTCACTCACTCCCGCTCGCATTCTCACCAGCTGTTCAATGATGGGCCCGCAGTCAAGCTCGTCCGTGACAAAGTGGCTCACCTATTGCGGCGCCTCTGAAGGTTTTTTCCCTCTCTCTCTCCTCACTCACTCCCGCTCGCGCTCTCACCAGCTGTTCAATGATGGGCCCGCAGTCAAGCTCGTCCGTGACAAAGTGGCTCACCTATTGCGGCGCCTCTGAAGGTTTTTTTCCCTCTCTCTCTCCTCACTCACTCCCGCTCGCACTCTCACCAGCTGTTCAATGATGGGCCCGCAGTCAAGCTCGTCCGTGACAAAGTGGCTCACCTATTGCGGCGCCTCTGAAGGTTTTTTCCCTCTCTCTCTCCTCACTCACTCCCGCTCGCATTCTCACCAGCTGTTCAATGATGGGCCCGCAGTCAAGCTCGTCCGTGACAAAGTGGCTCACCTATTGCGGCGCCTCTGAAGGTTTTTTCCCTCTCTCTCTCCTCACTCACTCCCGCTCGCGCTCTCACCAGCTGTTCAATGATGGGCCCGCAGTCAAGCTCGTCTGTGACAAAGTGGCTCACCTATTGCGGCGCCTCTTAAGGTTTTTTCCTCTCTCTCTCCTCACTCACTCCCGCTCGCGCTCTCACCAGCTGTTCAATGATGGGCCCGCAGTCAAGCTCGTCCGTGACAAAGTGGCTCACCTATTGCGGCGCCTCTGAAGGTTTTTTCCCTCTCTCTCTCCTCACTCACTCCCGCTCGCGCTCTCACCAGCTGTTCAATGATGGGCCCGCAGTCAAGCTCGTCCGTCACAAAGTGGCTGGTTGCTCCAATCAGCTTCACACCCGCCTTGAACGCCTGCGACAGCACAGGAACAAGGGAAGGGAGAATGATAGGAGTCAGGCAGGCAGGCAGGCAGGCAGGAAAGAAGGCGGGCATGTGGGCAGTTGGGCAGGCGGGCAGGCAGGCGGGAAGGCGGGCAGGTTGGCGGGCAGGCAGGCAGGCATACCCATGGAAGAGAAGGGTACAAAGGTACTCTGCATGCAGGCATGATGGGGGATGATCGAAGGGCGAAGTCCTACACGCATGGTCACATGCTGGTGAGTAAGGTGATGCCATGGGCACACAGCAGCAGTTGTCGAACGCAGACAGGTGGGCTGCGGAGGTCTTACTTCCATCAACTCGTATGGTTATTAAAACGACGAGACAAACCCCATGGGATGAATGGATTTCCCGGTTAACTGTGTTGCTGGTGAGTAGGGCGATGCCATGGGTACACAGCAGCAGTCACGACGTGTGTGCAGGCGCGACAAGAATAGAACAAGCTCATGTTTCTGCATGCAACCTCAAGTGGGGTTGCGAAAAAGAATATAAACTAGAGAGAGCTGTGAGTGGTGACTGCTGTGAGTGGTGCAAGAGTTGTGGGGAAGAGGGAGGGCAGTGGCGGGGACCTGGAGGTAGGGGTTGGCGCCTTTGAAGGAGGGCAGCAGGCCGTGGTGAATGTTGATGATGTCTCTGCCGTACGAGGCGAGGAACGTGGGTGATAGCACCTGGGGGCGATTGTGGGGAAGGATGGGGCCGGGATGAACGAAAGGGGGCGGAGGGGAGGGGGAAGGTGAAGGAGGGCAGGATGCCGTGGTGAATGTTGATGATGTCCCTGACGTACGAGGCCAGGAACGTGGGTGATAGCACCTGGTGGAGTTGGGGGGCCAGAACGAGGGGATGACAGGAGAGAGGAAGGGGGGAGGAGGAGGGGAGGCGATAGGAAGACATATGCTGTGGTGAATGTTAATGATGTCTCTGCCGTACGACGCCAGGAACGTGGGCGATAGCACCTGAGTGTAGTTAGTCGATTTTTGAGTCGACTCAAAAATCGACTAACTACACTCGGATTATATGCTGTGGTGAATGTTGATGATGACTCTGCGGCGCCAGGAATGTGGGCGATAGCACCTGGGGGGTGGGGCCAGGATGAGGGGAGGACGGTGGAGAGGTAGGAGAGGGGAAGGTGAGGGGAAGGTGATGGGAAGGTGAGGGGAAGGTGAGGGGAAGGTGAGGGGAAGGTGAGGGGATGGGTAAGACAAGAGCTGGAATTGATGTTGATGATGTGCCTGGTGTGGGGAGAGGGATGGAGAAGAATATGGGAGAGGAGGAGCGGGAGAGGCACATGGCAGCAGGAGCGAGCAATACAAGATGGTGGTTGAGGAGTGACATGGATGGGCCCCACCCACCCAGGCGCACACATACACCCCCAGACGCTCCAACACCCGTCAGCACCCCTAGCCACCCCTCACCACCCGTCACCACCCCTCAACACCCGTCACCACCCCGCACCACTGTCACCACTCTGCACACACCTGCATGTATCTGGCGAGAACGAGGAAGTCAGTGTTGGGGCCATGCACGAGGTGCAAGATATCATCCTCTCGCTTGTTGCCCGTGCTGGGGTCCACAGGCAGGTGGTGGAAGGGGATTCCATGCCGCGTGGGATGGATGGATGGATTGAACCCACCCAGGCGCAAACCAACACACCCCATCACCCCTTACCACCCCTTGCAACCCCTTGCAGCCCCTCACCACCCATCACCACCCTTCACCACCCCTCACCACCCTTCACGACCCTTCACCACCCCTCCATCACTCCGAGCGCACCTGCATGTATCTAGCCAACACGAGGAAGTCAGTGTTGGAGCCATGCACGAGGTGCAAGATATCATCCTCTCGCTTGTTGCCCGTGCTGGGGTCCACAGGCAGGTGGTGGAAGGGGATGCCGTGCCGGTCCAGGAAGCGCCGCACGTGCGTGTTCTCACTGCGCGGGTGGTTGCTGTGGAGTGCGGCGGTTTGTGGTGGCGTGTGGTGGTGTGCGGTGGTGTGAGGCGGGTAGGATGGGAGGGAGGGAGGGATGGGTTGAGTGCCGGTCCAGGAAGCGCCGCACGTGCGTGTTCTCACTGCGCGGGTGGTTGCTGCGGTGTGCGGGGGTGCATGGCGAAAGGTGGGTCGATGGAAGGGGTACAACATGGATAGGAAAGATGGAGGGTGGGGCAATGAGAACACAAGATAAGGGGGGTGCGCGTTTCGGCATGACATGCAAGGTAGAGGACAAGGAGGAGGGCACAGCACAGGTTGCAATGACAGCAGATGCAGCGGGTGCTTGCCTGATAACGCAGTGAATGTCCACTGGGAGAACCCCCTCCTGCCAGCGATACAGTAGATCCACTAGGCAGTGGTCCTGGTTGCGCCATGCCATGGCCGGAGGGGCGGAGGGGGGGGAGAGCGGGAGGGAGGGAGGGAGGGAGGGAGGGAGGGATGGATGGAGAAAGGGAATGGTCATTAGTGGTGTTTTTTATCATACAAACACAACATCAACATAAAAAGCATCAGAATCAGCATCAGCATCAGCATCAGCTTCAGCATCAGCATCAGCATCAGCATCAACATCAACATCGTCGTTACACACGATTGGGTGGGCTTCTGAGAGGAGCTTCACAGCATCCACAGCACAAACACCGCACAGAACACTCCCACGTTCTTCATCCTTCCCACCCCACCCACCCGCCCCTGCCAAACCCCCGTCCAACCCCAACACCCCCGCCCTCTACCTTCCACCCCACCTGCTGTGAAACCAGCACGGCCATGCGCAGGCGCTTGTCCTGTGCCATGACATGCACCTTTGACCTCTCCAGCCCCAGCTCTCCGCCCTCTGCAGTGTACATGTCACCCCTTCCCCCACGACGCCCCCCCCCCCCCACCCTCCCCCACCCCACCTGCTGTGACACCAGCACGGCCATGCGCAGGCGCTTGTCCTGTGCGATGACGAGCACCTTCGACCTCTCCGCTCCCAGCTCCACGCCCAGCGCTGCTCCCACCCACCCACGATTCCCCCCCCCCCCGCACCTGCTGCGACACAAGCACAGCCATGCGCAGGCGCTTGTCCTGTGCCATGACATGCACGTTTGACCTCTCCGCGCCCAGCTCCGCGCCTAGCGCTGCAAAGTCCTCCTGCATCTGCTGCCGCGGCCACCGCGCCGGGTCAAACGAGAACTCGCTGCACAGGGGGGGGGGAGGGGGAAGTGGGGAAGTGGGGGAGATGGGGGAGATAGGGGGCAGGGGAAGGGGGAGGGAAGTGGGGAAGTGGGGGAGATGGGGAGATAGGGGGCAGGGGAAGGGGGAGGGGAGGGGAAGTGGGGAAGTGGGGGAGATGGGGGAGATAGGGGGCAGGGAAGGGGGAAGTGGGGAAGTGGGGGAGATGGGGGAGATAGGGGGCAGGGGAAGGGGGAAGTGGGGAAGTGGGGGAGATGGGGGAGATAGGGGGCAGGGGAAGGGGGAGTGGGGGGGAAGTGGGGGAGATGGGGAGATAGGGGGAAGGGGGAAGGGGGAAGTGGGGAAGTGGGGGAGATGGGGGAGATAGGGGCAGGGGAAGGGGAAGTGGGGAAGTGTGGGGAGATGGGGGAGATAGGGGGCAGGGGAAGGGGGAAGTGGGGAAGTGGGGGAGATGGGGGAGATAGGGGGCAGGGGAAGGAAGGGGGGAAGGGGGGAAGTGGGGGAGTGGGGGATGGGGGAGATAGGGGCAGGGGAAGGGGGAAGTGGGGAAGTGGGGGAGATGGGGGAGATAGGGGGCAGGGGAAGGGGGAAGTGGGGAAGTGGGGGAGATGGGGGAGATAGGGGGCAGGGGAGGGGGAAGTGGGGAAGTGGGGAGATGGGGGAGATAGGGGCAGGGGAGGGGGAAGGGGGAAGTGGGGAATGGGGGGAGATGGGGGAGATAGGGGGCAGGGGAAGGGGAAGTGGGGGAAGTGGGGGAGATGGGGGGAGATAGGGGGCAGGGGAAGGGGGAAGTGGGGAAAGTGGGGGAGATGGGGGAGATAGGGGGCAGGGGAAGGGGGAAGTGGGGAAGTGGGGGAGATGGGGGAGATAGGGGGCAGGGGAAGGGGGAAGTGGGGAAGTGGGGGAGATGGGGGAGATAGGGGGCAGGGGAAGGGGGGAAGTGGGGAAGTGGGGGAGATGGGGAGATAGGGGGCAGGGGAAGGGGGAAGTGGGGAAGTGGGGGGGGAGATGGGGGAGATAGGGGGCAGGGGAAGGGGGGAAGTGGGGGGAAGGTGGGGGAGATGGGGGAGATAGGGGGCAGGGGAAGGGGGAAGTGGGGGAAGTGGGGGAGATGGGGGAGATAGGGGGCAGGGGAAGGGGGAAGTGGGGAAGTGGGGGGAGATGGGGGAGATAGGGGGCAGGGGAAGGGGGAAGTGGGGAAGTGGGGGAGATGGGGGAGATAGGGGGCAGGGGAAGGGGGAAGTGGGGAAGTGGGGGGAGATGGGGGAGATAGGGGGCAGGGGAAGGGGGAAGTGGGGAAGTGGGGGAGATGGGGGAGATAGGGGGCAGGGGAAGGGGGAAGTGGGGAAGTGGGGGGATGGGGGAGATAGGGGGCAGGGGAAGGGGGAAGTGGGGAAGTGGGGGAGATGGGGGAGATAGGGGGCAGGGGAAGGGGGAAGTGGGGAAGTGGGGGAGATGGGGGAGATAGGGGGCAGGGGAAGGGGGAAGTGGGGAAGTGGGGGAGATGGGGGAGATAGGGGGCAGGGGAAGGGGGAAGTGGGGAAGTGGGGGAGATGGGGGAGATAGGGGGCAGGGGAAGGGGAAGTGGGGAAGTGGGGGAGATGGGGGAGATAGGGGGCAGGGGAAGGGGAAGTGGGGAAGTGGGGGAGATGGGGGAGATAGGGGGCAGGGGAAGGGGGAAGTGGGGGAACGGAGAGTGGAGGGGATGGGAGGGTGGGGAGTGGGGGGAGGAGCGAGAGGGATGACTGGTGGGAGAAGACTGATTTGGAAAGAAAGGGAATCTTGCAGGAGTGTACAACAAACAAACATTACAACCTAGTGAAGAAGCACCTGCAGGTTGTCTGCAGGCCTACCATACGCGTTATAAGGCACCTGCGGGAGTAGAAGATGGGCGTGGGCGCCTCGAAGTCGATGTGCAGATCCACGTTGAGCAGATTCGCGTGCCGAGAGGCCACGCACTCCGATATGCGCGCCACTATTCCCAGCCGGTCCTGCCTTGCCAACAATATGGAATACGTTGGTAAGGGGGCGTTAAAGAACGCGATTTCCCTTCTTTTACTGGGGTATGCGGCTTGAAGCGATGGCGGAGGGATGAAGGCGAACGAGCTAGAAAGACGAGGAAAGAGAGAGCTGGTGTGATTGGGCGAGAGCTGGGCAGCAGCTTGCTGCTGCGTAACTGCTTTTTGCTGCAAAACGGCTTGTTGCTGCGTAACAGCTACTAAGGCTTCACCTTGCATTGAAACACGTGCACGCCGTGCGACCGCTGTCTGCTCGCTCCCGGCTCCACAGTTACCGCATTTCCCGCCGCCGCTTCTGCGCGTCTCCCTACTGCCGCCGCGCCCAGTCCGCCACCAGGCTCCGCGAAGTGCGCCGCCTTCGGCGAAAGCGCCTGCTGTTGCTGTCTCTCCGGCGACCAGTCTAAGGATGGCGGGCTGACAGGTGTGGCGGGATTGGAGTCCTTCGCGGGAGGTGCGGCGGAAGGGACGGAATGCGGCGGGGAATCGAAATTGCGGGACGGGGTGAATGGGTGGAGAGGGTAGTTAGCAGAGCATACGCCGAGCCACGGAGTTCGGGTGTGGCGAGCGCGGGCGGAGAGGGCGACTGCTGCAGCCGCTAGCTTGGCCGCCATAACAGAGATGCTGTGCAGCAATGTTGCCCGTTGGAAAATTGATAGGTTGGAGTTTTCAAGGTTTCGAGCATCGAGGTTGCCGACAGTCGATCCGCTATTGATTCGCGCGGTACCCAAAGTGGAAGTTCAGAAAAACATCGGACGCATGTCGTAAGTTATCAGCATCACTTCAGAGTGCATACATACACACACCATGTGATCAGCTTAGAAACATGAAACTAGTTAGTATCCTCATAATACCGTAAGTATCCATCCCAACCGTACCCCTTCATCTATGACTTAGCATCCTACTCTATCACCCATAAAAACCTCCACCGCCTACCATCTACTTGACAAACTCCATCCCTGCTCCCCTAGAAGCAACCCCAATGCCCGCCAACTTCTCCTTCCTCCTTAAGCCATCAGTACCCGCCACCACCAGACCTCCATCATGGGAAAACTTCATCCCTGGAGCGAGACTCATGCGCCCACGCCTGGATGCTGCAGCTCCTCCAGCAGCACGAACCCTCTGTGCGCCACCACCATATGCCTTCACACCACTTGAGCCCACCGCACTGCTTCCCTTAAGAGCTAGAACGGGTGCTGCTGTTATCGCTGCAGCCGACGCTGCTGCTGCAGCTGCTGCGGTGGCTGCTGCAGTGGCCCCTCCCACCCTCGCCCCACTGCCAATGAGGCTGCCGCTGCCATGGGCAGCAGGCTTTCTCAGACCAGAGGGAGGAAGGCCATCATGCACTGCTGCTGCTGCTCCTCCTGCTCCACCAGACAGTGTCTTGTGCAGCGAAGGGATTGCTGACGGCATGGGTGTAGTTAGCCCTGACCTGCGCACAGCATGTGGCCTGACGGTGCTGCCAAATGCAGTAGGAGGAATGCCATGGCGGAGTGCAAGTGGTGCTGTAACCTCGTGCCCTTTCTCTCCAGCAGCAGCAGAAGCAGCAGCAGTCCCAGCAGTGAACACATGGTAAGGCTGATGCAGCACCAACTGCTGTTGACGCGCTCCCTGCTCACACACGTCCTCCTCCTCAACCTTCTTCTCATCACACCCGTCCACACCCTCACCATCACAAGCCACGCTCGCCTTATCTCCTTCAGCAGCTGCACCGGCACTGCCATTCGGATTGCGCTTCAACCCCTTGGTCACTTCAGCAGACTGCCTCCTCCACTCATCATACCACTCGCGCCCAACCACCACCTTGTTCACTCGCAGACCAGCCAACGGTGGCCTACCAGGCTTCCGGGTTCTCACTGCCCCCACTGCATCCAGCTCCGTTCCAAAAGCCTTCTGGTCGCCATCCATCCCAGCTCCTGATTCCTCTGGCCTCTCCAGCCTTTCGCCAACCTCCAACCCAACAGCATCAGTGGCAGTGGCCCTACGCAGCATCATCTTCTTGGCAGCGGGTGCATAACCCAGCATAGCATAGTCATCCCATGCTTCACGTCTCCTCTCCCCCTTGCCACAGCCCGCCCATGCAGCTCCAGTGCGGCTACCTGGGAGCACAGACAGTGACATCCTCCCAGTCCGTTTGCGAGCCACACGCACAGCTTCGGCCGCTTCTGCTACTGCATCAGAGCCAGCACCAGCACCGGCAGAGCCTCCACCAGCACCAGCAGCATAAGCAACAACAGAAACACCCGTTTCGGTGGAGCAAGAAGCAGACCTCGATGGAATCTTGCTCCCCAGCGACCTTGCAGTGGCCTTGGGAACTCCGGAAGCTGTCACTGCCGCAATTGCCTTCTGAGCGGATGCCCCTCCTGCAACAGAGGATCCTGCAGGAATCCTAGCCGGAACTCTGCCTGGCCCCACCCGCTTCTCAGAAGCACCAGTGGCAGCACCTGCTCTACCCTTCACAAAATCTGCAATCTGGGAGACCACTCTGTCACCAGCCTGCTTCAGGTCCACCCAAGCCTTCTCCTCCTCCTCCAGTGCAGACTCAGACGCGGAAGCCTCAGCAATCGGCTCTGGGCGGGGGCCAGATGCCTCTTCCATACCAGCATCATCAGTGGCAGAAGCAGCAGAAGCAGAAGACGCAGTAGCAGCGGCAACAGAAGCACTGACTTGTCCTGCTTCACTGGTCTGCTCCAGGCTTGCCTCACAGTGGGGCTCGTGCTCAGCCTTCTCCTCCTCAGCATGTGTCCCCAGCGAAGCCACCTGAAGTGAGTCTGCCGAGACCGAAGGCTGCTTGTAAGAGTCTGCCTTGATCTGCTGCTGCTGCTGCAGTTGCGCCTGTTGCAGTGCACGCGCCTTCTCCTTCTCCAGAGCATCCATCAAGTTCTGATATTCCTTCTGGCGCTCCTGAATCTGTTTAGGCGCACCAGTGAATAAAAAACACTTGCACAAATTAGCAATGGTTGGACTGCACAGACATTCAGCAGGACTCCAAAGTCAAACAAAACCATCCGCAAGCACAGCAGTTTGGTCATAGACAGGCATACCCAATTTACTGACCTGCATCTGCAGCTCAGAGACAAGCTTCTCCTTCTCGGTGGCTGTCTTGCGCCTCACTTCCTCCAGCTCCTCGCTCTGCTTCTGGTACGCCTCCTTCACCTCCTTGCAGTCCGCCTTGGCCTTCTCCAGCTGTTAAACATAAAACCAGGGAATCACACAGCATTCTATGAGTAAAAAAGCTCGCACATGCGCACGAAGACCGTGAACGGACAAGGTATTTTTCAAATTAAAACGAGTTAGACAAGGACAACACCAGGAGCACATACCGCTTGCTTGAGTCGGGGAACGTCGGTCTGCTTCTTGCTAGCGCCAAAGTCCACGCCACGCACCCGGCAGGCAAACTGCAGCGAGCACACAGTCTCCACGCTGTCCTTCTCACTCGGGCTGACCTGCACGAACATGAGCACCTTGGCGTTCCCTTCCAGGGAGTCCTGCAGCAGCATCGTCAGCTTGCAGTTCCTGCCACACAAACAAATAGAGGAACATCACGTCAGAGTTTTTTTGAAAACAACATTTTAAACCCTTGAACAACAGAAGGAACATGACACCCACGACTCAACTGACTCTTGAGCAGATTCCAAATAACAGCTCTGCACACCTCATCTTCCAAAGAGCTGTAGCTGACCTGAAGTTGACGAAGCTGGCACGTTTGGCGAGGGCGTTGATGACCTCTCCCAGGTACGATAGTGACAGGTTGATGTTCTGCGCCTCCTTGAGCCGCTCGCCCTCCGCCTCGCTCTTGGCCACGCGCTCGCTGCCCGCCAGGTCCACCAGCCACAGGCGACTCACTGTCCCCGCACTCGCACTCGCACCCGAGGCTCCGGCTCCCTCCTTCTCTTTGCTGGACCGCAGGAACGCCGCTGGCTGGGCGTGCACGGACACGCAGACAAGGCTGCACGCACCAAAAGCAACAAGTAGCAGGTCACAATCAGCCACATCCCTGGGAAGTCCGCGCACCGGCGGAAAAGGAAACTCAGACAGAAAGAGGCTGGCCGGCAGGTGGAGAGGCACGCACCAGTGGGATCGGCTGGAGTGCTCGTTCATGCTGGTGGCGCTGGTGGCACGCGCCTTGGAGCCAGACATAAGCACCTTCCATGCCTCCTCCACGCTCCCCACCTCCTGCTCCACCAACCCTGGCACGTAGTTTCCACCCTCTGGCCTCTGCTTCACCTCCAGACCCCTGACCAAACAAAAAAGCAGAGGAGTTAGGATCTCTGCGACAAAATCTGCACCCATCTGCGCAGAAACGAACCGCTCTCCTACTTCTTGCTGTTGGGTGCAGCGTGTCCGCCGGTTGGAGCGAGGAGGTCGCGAATGGTGTCGTTGTAGACCTCCAGCACGCTCACCACAATCCTGACACCAACAGACCATACCAAGACAAGCAATGTCAAGAACGCATTAGCACGATCAGAGTGATTGCTTTCAATTCCACGAGAAACCAAAAAATCGCATTCGCGAGATCAAAGTTTATGTTCGCAAATCATCTCCGCTGCTACCCCCTTCCCCGTCAAATCCCTCACGTACTTGTACTCCATGCTGTCATGTCGCTCCTTAGCCAATCGGAACAGCTCTTGCAGCGTACGGAACGACACGCCCCTGTTCTCCGCGGGGCCTTCCATCGTGTACGTCTTGCCCGTGCCGGTCTGCCCGTACGCGAAGATGCACACGTTGTACCCGTCAAGAACCGACGTGATGACGTCAGCCGCCTCCTTGAAAACTTGAGCTGTTTACACGGACAGACAACAAGGTACGCACGAATATTAGCATCAAACAGGACTCTCCATCCAACGTCCACAGTCCATATGATCATGAAGCTGGAAAACGGGAACGCAAATTATACCTTGACTGGTGGTCGGAGAGAAGACTCGGTCAAACTCGAACACCTTGCTCTGTCCGTCCTTGGCTGATCGCACCGAAACCATCTGGCTGCCATGAGGATCTGAATCCAGCAGCACCGCTGGCTGAGCACCTAACTTTTCCTCTGCCTCTGACAGCGGCCTCGCGCGGCAGAACACACGGATGCTTCCTGCACAAGTTGGAGGACGACGAAAGAAGAACTGAACATTAACTTCGAAAAGATGGGAACGCACTGAACGATTCTGGAACGATACTGGACGACAGTATCACAAAGCAAGGTGAACGAGTGCAGTGCAGGGGGAGCATAGTACCTTTAAGGTCGATCAGGTCGTTCTGTAGCTTCTTCCGCTTCTCTGCCTCTTGGAAAAACCTCTTCCTAATGGCCTCTTTCTCTTCCTCTGCAACCAATCACCAGAGCAAAGCAACAATCTTAGTCGTTTCTTTAAAACTGCAACGGAAGTTCATGAATTCAGTGCCGATGGGTGCATACCGATCAAGGAAAGGCTACGGAAGACAGTACTGAAAGAAGCGAGGTGCTCCTGCTGCGTGATTGCAAGCTCCCTCGCCTGAACTTCCACATGCGCCTTGTCGTCTCGAAGAGCCTGTATTCAGAAAACAGTCGATAGGAATTAAGTTTGATAGTTCATCAATCTTATGCTGCTTTTGGTGCAACAACTCCGTCGGAATATATCCATTACCTGTAGCTCGGACTGCATCCTCACGAGCTTCTGATGCATCTTTTGCTGAAGGCCTTCCAGCTGCTCCTTCAATAGAGTGTTCTGTCCCTCTGCCATGTGAAAACTGCCAGTTAGCAAGTGTTGATACAATAGTTGGCTAGGCAACGAAATATTGCATGGCAAAGAGAGAGGGGTTGTTACCTGCGTCTGCTAGCTTGTGGCCCTGAGCAGCTAGCTTATCGCGGACGGCCGAGAGTTCACGTTTCTGCTGCTGCAACAATGATCTGACATTTGAGGTCTCCGACTTGGCCTTCGACAACTCCTCCTTCGCTCGGCGATTCTTCTCCTTCAACTGAAATGCGCAGAAAAAAAACACTTGATCAACGAGGGACTACGGAGTAAGACGTTGCGAAAAGAGCGACAGATGGAAGTACTGGAAATGCGCTTCCGTTTATACCTCTTCAATCTTGCGAGCCAAATCCATCCTCCTGGCCTCCAACGACTTCTCCAAGTCATCTCTCCCAGTGTTCATCTTCTGTACCACGCGTTCAAGCTGCTCCACCTTGTTCCGTAGCTTCTCGTTCACTTCCCGCTCTTTAGCCAGCTCCTCTTGCAGCCGCTGATCCGCGATCCATTTCTCTGCCATGTTAAAAACACGCAAAAAAGGGAGAATTAACAATTTTGAATAGAAACACGTGAGTCCTCAGGCTTGATTAGAATCCCATGTTCAGATTTTAAAAAAGACCAAAAAAAAAAAAAAAAAAAAGCTTTACGCGTCACTGCAGTTGTACCTGTATTGAAGTTTATTGGATCATCTTGATCTTCGCCCAGAAACGTTTCTGTAGCCTCTTCCGCGGGTTGATTGTCATCCTTCGTGGAATCCACCCAAGCAGCAACGTTCAGAAGTTCCTTATCATTCTCTCTCAAGCAACATTCTGGTTCATCCTCTGCTTCCTCTGTGGAGGTACCATCACAGCTTTGATAGTCCGACATTGTAGACGGTCTATCTCGTGTATCAAGCTCTGTATCTTCAGCTTCATCTTCTCCTTTCTTCGTATCCTCCTCAACAGGCAGGAGCAAGGCACCCTTGGCTCCGCCAAGAGGACTCATCACGGCACGGTGTGACTGCGAATCCTCCATGACACGCTTGGCGACTGGCGACGAATGCTCTGCTACGGACTGTTCCAAACCGGCCGTCGCTGGTGCTTCATTTTCGAGATCGTCAGCGGAGATGGTGGCAGCTTCCGTCCTAATGGGAAACTGGTTTGAGTCAACGCATGTTGACTCAGGAGCTTTGGTCTCTACGTCAGTCTGACTATCCGTGGAGCTGTTAGCATTGCTTTTTGCCGGTTGCATAGGAAGAGAGTTGACGGCCTCCAGAGTTCTGACAATATCTGGAATTTCCTCCTCGGAAATTTGCTTCGCGACCTCACTTGCTTCTTGTGCCAGGCTCCCCTCACTAATCTGGCAGGCCGTTGCAGCCTGACCAACCATTGTCTCCCTTCCGTCCTCCACTGCCATGACCTATTTGCACGCGAAGGACAAGGCTAGTTTGTCCAACAACGCTATGGTGTTCTCGAAAGTAAGGTGTCTCAGCCAGATGGCCTCGGGATGGAGTTAGAAGTCAGTTCAAGGATTGCCAGCAATCGATTACTCTGCAGTCTCTCCACAACGAAAAGAATCAAAGCAACGACACTACTCCAACAATGCTCCCCTTGGGTCAGTTGTGTGTGTCTCAGTGCAAATCGAAATTCAGGTTCTCCCAGCTAGATTGCTTGCTTTCTCCTGTCTGTCATTCTGTCTCTCTGTTCAAAAAGCGAGCCGCATTCCCTCCTGCCTGCTATCCTGTACCCAGTATTTCCCGCCCGTGATAATGGCAACGCCAAATTTGGCAGAGAGCCTGAGCACTGGAGGTTTGAATTCTGCGCGGGAACAGTTGGTGACAGATGAATCGATACAGCGCATCGGTTATTGAAATCTGTCTGACCTTACAAAAACAATCGGTTATAACGAAGTTAGCAGTTTGTATCCACATCCGTGTCCAACGTCCCAAATTTCATGTGATACATTAAATTATTTTGCATAAACTCGTTGTGCATTGGGTTCTGCAGAATGTAGTTTGATCTTATTGCGTTGCATCATTCATATCTAATAAAGACTTTTGTATATATGTCTGTGTCTCTCCTATAGATTCAAAATAGTCTGTCATTATTGGATACATCATTGTGCTTAGGAGGTTAGGAGGGAAATCACAGCCAACGTGATCAGTTCTTCTCAGACACATCTCGTGAATCTGCTCTGCCATTTCCAAGTGTTCTTCACTCTCCCTGCCGATCTTCGCGCCCATATGCTCCTTGCTGTTTAGTTGCGACGTTGTGTCTTGTAGCGTCGTGCGACCACAATGACGGGTGTCGGATACGCTGGTTCAGGCGGTCAACAACCAATAGCACGAAATCAAGCCCCGCAAAAGCCGTTGTACAACAAGGAGAGACCTGATGAACACGCGAAATACCTCAAGAAACACCACCACGAAGAGCAGGCTACAAGTGAGCACCTTCTTGGCACCTTCAAGTGGTGCCGCTCACCTTCTTAATACTCTGATTGTTCTCGAACCCGTTCAAATGGTGACTCCAGAAGCTTGCATGATGGAATTTCGCCGTCTGTCGAACTCATTTTCTCTGCTTGGTGGTTCTTGTTTTGTCAACTCGTTCGCCTTCAACATCATTTATAGTGGGAGTAACAATGTTCCCTTTCTTCTCTCACTTCCCTCTTCCTTCCTAAATCTGTTGCAGCTACGCCACCTAGTCTCGTAGTTGGCCCATCAGCTTCTGTGGGAGGTCACTCTTCGGACTCACAACCAGCCGACGTACAGCATGGGAAGGCTTTCCATAGCCACCACAGTGGTAGCCACGCACACGGTCTTCAAGCCCCAGTGCAACGTCCAGACCATATTGTTCCCATAGTGGGCCCGCATTAGTCAGTCTTGTTTCGTTCCATCACGTTCTCAACTGTCAGCTCTCTGTTGTAAACTCCCTCTATCTAATCCTCCCCCCCTATCTCCCTCTCTTACAAACTCTATTCTGTTCCCCATTTCCTCTCTTCCTGACTTTCCTTTTCTTCCCGTCTGCTCTCGTTTGATATTTCCCCACCCTTCCTCCATCGACCCCCTCTCTTTGCTCTCTCATCTCTCCCCCACTCCCGCCCCCCCCTTGAGTCCTGTTTCTTTCACCCTCTCCGTGTATCTCTTTGTCCTTACCTGTACCTTCCTTCTCTAATTGTTTGTTGCCCATCCCTAAATATTCCTCCAATATGTACGCAAATGCATAAGGCCATTAGCTGAAGGAAATCGTTCATGCATAAAGTTGTAGATGATAATGTTGCGTGTAATCATGAAGTGGATTCGATATTACAAATGTTTTCCGAGTTGCGTCGAGTGAAACCTAGCAAACCTCGAGAGATGACATGCTTTTCCACAGCTAGATTTGGATATGGCGTTATATTACGTGGCATATCACACACGTTCCGCTGAAGCCCCTGGCCTATCCCAGCTCCCGCTTGCTAAGTACTTGTTGCGACGTTCGTGAGCTTCGCGAGCTATCGCGAAGTCTCCTTTTCCGCCGTCGTCTGAACAAAAAGTCGGACTCTTCTTGCAGCTTCGCAACGCAACGCAACGCACCGCACGCGATTGGCTATCGCTGCCCATCCGCAACCCTCTTTGCTACGCGCAACCAGTGTTGCTACTCGTTTTGCAAGTTTTTTCCTGCCCAAAGCCGTCGAGTCGCCGCCTCTCCGTTTAGTGCGCCTCTGTTTCGCCAGGGCCGCCAGAGGGGGGCCCCGCTGCGCTAGCGCCAGTGCAAGCGCAGCGCCGCCACCCTTCTCTTCCCTCCCCCCTCTCCCCCATCCATTCTTCGCATTTTACTGTATTGCAGTACACATGCCCTGTCATCATCTCCGCCAGTTGCGGCGGGCATGTGATTTCCAAGGAACGCGTTTCTTGATTCCGTCCTTCGCATCCCATTGGCTCACGATCACATCCCACCAGGCCTACAGCGTCCTTCCCGTGGGTTCAAAGAAATTCATCGTTTCATCCACCCTTGGGTTACACTTCACTTCCTCCCCCATCCTGTTGTTCAACGGAAAGCACACATGCGATATTCTACGTGAAAGCGACGCAGTCAAGCACACATTCTTCGCAGCATCCACAATGTCTCACGTGGCAAGTCATAACTGCTGGCGACCTAATCTTGCGACACATTCTAAGGAGCTGGCTGCTGCAAAATTTCTATCTAAATTCATCGTGTGTAGCGGGGCTGCCGGATTTTGGCCTCCTTTGCTGCCATACGTGTGTACAATCCGCAGCAGCATCATTCTCACATCAGATGCCATAGAGAACTCCGTTCGCCCCTCCTACAGCCTCTTTCTCACATCTCGTCGCCCCACATTCGCATTCGTCACCGTGATATTCTTCCCTTCGTAGCATCCGGTCGATCCCTTTCCTACGCCACACGAGAATCGCCTCATATAATCGCGCAGACCTTATTCTATTCAGTGCCTTCGAGAAACGCAGACGACTACTACGAGCGGGACCAAAAGCGCTAGTTAACGTCTGTAACGGACATATCTCTGGCGCTTCTAGATAAGGCCCATTCGAGCTGGCCCGACTTCCGGTGAATTAATGCGCGCAGACTCAATCGCCACAACCGGGAGCGCCCACCGCTGCTCGTTGCATTATTCGTTTACCTTCCTCCGTACGATCCGCAAAGCAAGTCAAGGACGGATTTTGATAACGCCATCTCCCAGTCCTGTGAGCCGAACACGAGCGGCGCGAATGGGCTCGTTTTAGTTCGGGATTGGCGGCACTGATTGCACGCGGCGCCAAATGCCATCCGCCGTGTGTTGCGCGCCGCTCTTGCGCTGGACTTGACATTTCATAGTACCGCCTAGTACTGGGCTTGCCTGTTCGCCGCTACATTGTGAACTTCGATTGTTAGGAATCCCAACACATCCTTAACTACTGATAATCTGATCCGGATTCCCGCAAGAAAAAGGCTTGGGTTTGCGGCGGAACCACGCACCAGGAGACGCGAGTGTGGGAGATAAGTAAGCACTACAACAAGCCACAGCTAAGAACTGCCGACGCTACGATTGGCACTGCTAGCAATGGCGGATGAGCGCACTTCCCGCAACCGTGACAGCGACCCCGGACGGGCTGTCGTCGCGGAATCGGCGCATTTCACGCCCGCTGCTATGCCGGTTCAGGTTCTCGCTGCCACGCATCCTCTTCAATTTGAAAGGCGAAGTGTCCCGCATCAGGTGCCGCATGCGCTGTCGCAAAACCCGCCGCACACGTTCCAGCAGCAGCAGCAGCAGCAGCAGCAGCAGCTCGAAGGCGCAGGCTTCGGTCCCAGCCCGTGTGGAGCATCAGGCGCTTCGGGACGATGGCTACCCTCAACGCCGGCGGCGGCTGCGGCGCCACTGCCACCGCCGCCGCCGCCGCCGCCGCCGTCACTGCTGCCGGCGGTCGCAGTAACAACGACGGCCGGGAGCGCGTTCGACGCAGCGACAGGCCAAGCAGCAGTCGGAAGAAACACTTCAAGTGGCGGGATTCGCCGCTCGGGGCGTTGCGGCGCGGGGCCTCTCAGGCTGCCCGGGAACCCGCCCACGCCCCCGTTCGCTACGATCCCCTCCGCCTCCTCCATTTCCTTCTCCGCCTCTCAGGCTAAACCGCTCGCATTGCGCCTCCCTTCCGCCGCCGCCGCCAGCGCCGCCGCCGCCGCCGCATGCCCTCGCGCCGCGGCCGCCACGGGCGCTTCTGTCGCGGCTCCGTTATGCTCTCCTTCGATATACTCGTCGAGCAACGGACCCAGCTCGTCTCCCTCCCCGTCGCACCCGTTCCCCACGCCCGCTTCCGCCGCGCCCCTCCCGGCTTCCCTTCCCCCGTCGTTCCCGTCCGCCGTCAACTCCGCCGCCCCGCCCTTCGGCGGAACATCTCTCTGCGCCACTGCCCGCGAGCGCCTCTCGCGTTGCGCCGATGGTACATCCGCGAGAGGTTCCGCGGGCGGCGGGGGCGGCGGCGATGGCGGCGGCGGTGCAGCGCCGCTGGATCTTTCAGCGTCGTTTTCGTCGCCCGGGGATGGTTCGTTCGCCGTCGCAGGGTCGCACGCGACTCAGGCGCACGCGAACGCTGGAGGAGCGCTGGAGGAACCAACAACAGCCGCTGCTACAGCCGGCACATCGGCTACAGCCGGCGCAACCGCTACAGCCGGTGCTTCGGGTGCAGGAGCCAGTGCAGCCGTTGCAGGGGCTACAGCGGACGCGTGTGGCAGTGGCACTGCTTCTGCTGCCGCCCAGGCACCAGGTTCTGCCCTGACTGCTGCTGCTGCTGCTGCTGCTGCTGCTGCTGCTGCTGCTGGTGGTGGTGGTGGTGGTGGTGGTGGTGGTGGTGGTGGTGGTGGTGGTGGTGGTGGTGGTGGTGGTGGTGGTGGTGGTGGTGGTGGTGGTGGTGGTGGTGGTGGTGGTGGTGGTGGTGGTGGTGGTGGTGGTGGTGGTGGTGGTGGTGGTGGTGGTGGTGGTGGTGGTGGTGGTGGTGGTGGTGGTGGTGGTGGTGGTTCTGCTTCTGCTCCGTGTAATGGCGCCACGCGTGCTCCTCCTGCGTCCACCCACCACATGCGACTAATTCTGCCCTCCCTCACGCTCCCATCAACCCACCCCTTCTCTTCTGCTCCCTCCTCTCCTCCTCCTCCCCGTCCCCCTCCTACTCCTTCCTCTCCTTCTCCCACTGAAGTTCCTGTTGCTGCTGCTGCTGCTGCTGCTGCTCCTTCCCCCTCTGCACTCCCCCGGCTCTCCTCCTCGCTCTCCTCCTCTTGCTCTCGCCCGCTGCGCCTTCCTCCCGGCCTCTGCTTTCCTCCGACTCCCTCCACACCTGCTGCGCCAGCCGTCCTCCCGAGCTCGCTGGCAGATCCTAACCCAGTGCATCCTGGCAGCCGCAACAGCAGCAGCAGCAGCAGCAGCAACAGCAACAGCAGCAACAGCAGCAACAGGAGGAGAGGGAGGAGAGGAGATGGGGACGGGGAGAAGGAGTGCGACTACAAGCGAGCAGGAGAATTCAGTAGCCATTGCACCAACGGCAGCAGCAGCGGCAGCAGCAGCACCAGCTCCGGCAGCGGCAGCGGCAGCACTGGAAGTGGCAGCAGCAGCACCAGCTGGTAATGGAAGCTTCGCTGAATTTGATGCACAGACAACGGAGGAGACCGGTGGCAGCGGTGGTGCTGCTGCTGGTGTTGGTGGTGGCGGTTGTGGAGAGAGGCAGAGTGCAGAGCATCAGAGGGGGAGGGGAAGCGAAGAAACTGCTGCTGGTGGAACGCCTGACTTGAATGACGGGCAGGGCGAGCATGCGGAAGAAAGGGTAAGGGCAGCCACTGAGACGCACCAGGACGGTGCGACCAAAGGTCAAGGGGGCGGAAGGGGCGGAGCCAGGGGCGGAGCGGGGGGGAGGGGGAGGAGCGGGAAGCAGCAGGGCAAGGAGGTGCGATCGGCGCGGGTGAAAGCGGAGGTGGTGGAGGAGGAGTGTGAGGGGGAGGGGCAGTTGGGGGTTGTGGGGAAGGAAGGGGAGGTGGCAGGAACTGCCAGAGGTAGCAAGAGTAGAAGCCGCAAGGGAAAGGCGAGTGCAGGGTCCGCTCGTGCTGCTGCTGCTGCTGCTGCTGGCGCTGGTGCTGATGGTGGTGGTGATGCTGCCGCTGCTGATGCTGCAGAGGAGCAGCAGCAACAGCAGGTGGAGGCGGCAGCAGCAGCAGCAGCAGCAGCAGGGGGAAGTGGCAGCGGGAGAGGCGGGAGAGGCATTAACGTGGGGATACGCCGGCGATCAGCCAAGAGCAAGGCGCATGGAGCGGGAAGGGGAGGTGCTGCTGCTGCTGCTGCTGGTGCTGCTGCTGATGGTGCCGCTGATGGTGCCGCTGATGGTGCCGCTGCTGGTGATGAGAGCTGTTTGGGAGTGGAAGGACGAGGCAAGAAGCAGGCGCAGGGAGCGAAGAGCAGGAGGGGGAAGGGGAAGGCTGCTGCAGACGAGCAACAGCACGTGCAGGGCACAGAAGGGAACGGTGGCAGGGAGCAGGAAGACGGGGCGGAGGAGGGAGTGCCTGGGCAAGCAGGCAAGTGCTTGGCAGCAGGAAGAGCAGGGCGGAAGGGAGGCTCTGCTGCTGCTGCTGCTAACGCTCGCAGCAAGGTTGCTCGTGATGCTGCTGCTGCCGCTGCTATTGCCGCAGTTGCTGCTGCTAAGGCTGCTGGTGGCAGTGCTACCACGAGCGGAGACGACGACGACGACGACAACGAGAACGAGGAGGAGCATGGTGAGGAGAACAATGGGCACGATGGGAACGACGGAAACGGTGGAAAGGAAGACAACGGGGAGAATGAGAACGAGAACGAGGAGGATGAGGACGCGTTGGGGCGCATGACCCAGGAGCAGATAGACGCTCTAGAAGTCCGCTTTCAGCAGAATCGCCGGCTCGACACGGCAAGGAAGCTGGTGCTGGCACGGGAGGTGGGCGTGCGGCCGCGGCAGGTGTCGGTGTGGTTCCAGAACCGGAGGGCGCGGTGGCGGCAGAAGAAGAAGGAGAGTGACTTGAGTGCGATGCAGAGGGAGTATGCGCGGTTGAAGGTGGCGCGGGAGCAGCTTGGGGAGGACTATGAGCTGCTGAAGAAGGACTATGAGGATTTGCTGCTGCATAACGCCGCACTGCATGATAAGGTGTGCCGAGGGGTGGTGTGCGGTGAGGTGAGATGGGGTGTTGTGGTGTGTGTTGGGGTGGTGCGCGGTGGGGTTGGGTGGCGGTTGAAAGTGGTGCTTGAGCAGCTTGGGGAGGATTATGAGCTGCTGAAGAAGGGCTATGAGAACCTGCTGCTGCATAACGCCGCGCTGCATGATAAGGTGTGCGGTGGGATGGGGTGGGGTGGGGTGGGGTGCGGTGGGGTGGGGTGGGGTTCGGTGCAGTGCGGAGGGGAGGTGTGACTTCTACGCTGGTTAATCTTTTCACTTGCCTTTTTCTTCTGCTCCAAAGCTGGCCCATCCCCTCCTTCCCTGCCTTCCTTTCCTTCCTCCTCCTCTCAGGTGGACGATCTGATGGCGCATCCTGGTGCAGCACGGCATGCTATCCGCCTCCACCTCCTCCTGCCTGCGAGACAAACTGGCCCCTCTCTAGACATCTCAGAAGCCTCCTGCTTCCCTTCCATCCCTCCTCCCCCTTCTTGCAGGTGGACGATCTAATGGCTCATCTGGTGCAGCACGGCATGCTATCATTGTTTAGTCAACTCAGAAGTCAAGCATAGCCTCTTTCCCCCCTCCTCTCTCCCCTCTCCTCTCAGGTGGACGATCTGATGGCGCATCTAGTGCAGCACGGCATGCTATCCGCCTCCACCTCCTCCTGCCTGCGAGAAGCTCTCCTCACAGCCGGCCCGCTCTCCCCCGCCAACACCACCACCAGTCCCCTGCCTCTGCCTAGTGATGCCGCCACCACCCTGCCTGCCGCCGAGCCTGGCGCCCACGCGCTGGCGGCCGCCGCAGCTGCTGGCTCGGCAGCTGCCTTGGGGGTGGGTGGTAGGGGCGCCCCGTCCCCCTCTGCTGCTGCTTCTGCTGTGGCGTATGGTGGAGGTGTGGGGATGTGGGCAGGGGAAGAGGTGGGGGGAGGAGTGGAAGGAGAGGAAGGAGAGGGGATAGGAGGAGGAGGAGTGGGAGGAGAGGATTGGGTAAGCTCCGGAGGTATTTCCGGCATGATGATAGCAGACGCTGCTACGGCAGCAGCAAGCACAGGGACCGGTGCAGCAAGCGCCGCCACAGCCGCCGCATCAGCAGCAGCGTCAGCAGCAGCCTCCGCTGCCGCATCAGCAGCGGCATCAGCAGGGGGGTGCAGCCTATCCGATCAGCCAGCAAGTGCCTTCTTCCCACAGCCACCAGACATGCTCTTCGACTCCTGCCTGCCCCTCCCTCTCCCTCCAGAACTAGACCCAGATCTTTTCAACCCCTGCCCGCCCACCAGCCCCGGCAGCAGCAACCACCACCTGGCCTACCCATGCCGATGCAGCCCTACGAGCGGCGCTGCTGGTGGGTCAGCTGCTGGTGGGTATGGGTCTGCGCTGGGGGGGTCAGGTCTGGGTGGGTACCCTACAGCTACATCTCTGTCTTCTTCTCCTGCGTTCAGTGTCGCTGCTGCTGCTGGGTGGGGCAGCGAGTCGTATGGGGATCGCAGCAGGGAGCGTGGCGACCGAGTGAACCTGCTTCAGGGTGGTGCTGCTGCCGCGGCTGCTGCTTCCGGTGCTGCTTCTGCTGCTGCGTCGATTGCTGCGTCTGCTGCTACCTCTGGTGCTGCCTCGTGTGCGATTCGGGCTGGCGAGGAGGAGGGGAAGGGTTGGGAATGGGGAGGAGCGGGAGGAGGGGGAGGAGGAGTGGGAGGTGGAGGGGGAGGGAGAACATTGCGGAGGGGGGGAGGAGCAAGTTTCCATGCTCAGTCCCCTCGTTCTGCTGACGCCGCTGCTGCTGCTGCTGCTGCCGGCGCTGTTGGTGCTTCTGCCGCTGCCGCTTCTCTTGAAGCACCTGCTGCAGCTCATGCCACACCCGCTGTTGCAGCTTCAAATGCCGCAGGACCCTCCACTCCGCACATGCTCCATCTGCCTGGCGCTCTCCCCCCTGCTGCACGCCCCTCTGCGGCTGTGGCTCCCTCTCTCACTCCGTCCTGCAATCAGAATCCGCATGCGATTGCACATGTCCGATGCACTCCCCATGCTCGGTTCCGAGGCAATCCCGCAAGCCAGTTTCAGGAAAGAGGAAGCGGAGGCGGAGGGGGAGGAGGAGGGGGAGAGGGAGAAGAGGGAGGAGGAGAAGGAGAAGGAGAGGGAGGAGAAGCTATTCCCATTCCCAGCTATTTCTTCCCGTCAGCAGCAAACTTGGTGGCAGTGACTGATTCGATTCAGGAGCAACTGGAGGAAATCCATGATGGTATCGAGTCATGTGGGCCTGTAACTGCTGGCTTGGGCGGTGCATATGAGCCGTACACGCTGCAAGAAGAAGAAGAGGAAGAGGAAGAGTTCGTTCCAGCACAGCGCATGCGCCACCCGTACCGGCACCACCAGCAGCAGCTGCATCCGCAGCAGCAGCAGCAGCAGCAGCAGCAGCAGCAGCAGCAGCAGCAGCAGCAGCAGCACATCGTGCGGCAGAGCCAACAGCTGCAAGGGCAGCAGCAGCACCAACAGCAGGTGTACCAGCAACAGCAACAGCAACAGGAGCTGGTGAGTTTGTTCGAGCAAAAGCACGACGACGGAGGGGGGCAGCAGAAAGTGCATCAGGAGCAGGAGGAGGAGGAGCAGGAGAAGGAGGAGCAGCAGCTGATGCAGGAATGGACGCAGTGGCAGGAGAGGCACGGCGCGGAGGAGGAGATTCAGATTCAGGAGACGCAGTACTGGGACGGGGTACATGCTCGTGACATTCGCACACACACTGGCAACATCGACAGTACAGCGGCTGCTGGAAGGACGAGCAATTATCACATGCAGCATCGCCAGCAGCAGCAGCAGCAGGCACAAGGGCATGCGCAGCAGTACGGGCAGCAGCGGCAGCAGCAGCAGCAGCAGCAGCAGCTGTTTGCGCCTCTGGTGCAGCGCTCTAGCTCCGCGCCTTCTCCGCTCACACCTTCCCCGCGTGTCCTATCCTCCAGCGCCAGCCGCAGCAGCGCCACTGGCATCTACAGCACCATGACTGCTGCTGCCGCTGCTGCTAATGAAAATCCTGGGCTTTGCAGCAGGGAGCAAGAAGGCAGTGGCGGGGGGTCCGAGGGAGGCATGGAGGGCTCGCACGGGAAGGAGAGCCTGGGCGGGAGCAGGGAGGGTAGCAACAGCGGCGGTTGTGCTGCGGATCTTACGCCGCAGCAAGGACGCCCCCCTCTCAGCCGTGAGCTGCATTTGACCGGAACTGCTTCCTTCAGGCCCGTTCCGCTGTGTGGAGGGGAGAATGGTCTGCAGGCAGGGGTAGGGGATGGCTTTGTTAAATATGGTGGGGATTCTAGGAGCTCTGTGCGTGATGTGCTTGCGCCCCTTCCCCCTCAGGATGCAGGTTGCCAGCTTGGGCATGGCGGGCATCTGGACTTGAACTTGCTGGGATTTCCCACCCCGCCTGCTTCTCCAGGATTTGATGGGGCAACCAGGGCTGAGATTGAGAACTTGGGTCCTCCTCAGGAAGGAGAAGGGGTGTCAATGATGCATTGGGCTGATGAGCCTGTTGTCTTTTGAGAGGGTACATATATTGCTTTTGCTTGGACTGATATGTGTTTTTTTTGCGTGTGAACAATTGCGCTTGCATAACGTGTGTGTGTGTGTGTGTGTGTGTATGTGTGTGTGTGTGTGTGTGTGTGTGTGTGTGTGTGTGTGTGTGTGTGTGTGTGTGTGTGTGTGTGTGTGTGTTGTCTTAATTGTGTTATGGTTATGCTTGTTATTCTCTGTGAACCTCTTAGGGCGTGTTAAATCGCAAACTCCAAAAATTCGGCCACAATCCGTCGGGCCGTTTTTGCGAAGGTAACCAGTTCGCGACAATCGTAATTCCAGTGGCGACAGTCGCCACGGAAACGACGCTGAGTCGACTCCAAAGCGGCCAAGTAGTCGACACAGTGTGCAACAAACGATTGCGACGTCGCATGGATTCGTCCAGCGACCAAATTTGTGATCGCGTCAAATATGAAGAATCGCCGTCAAAAGTGCGACCCCGTCGCACATACTAAACTACTGTAGTAACTGCAAATTTAACAACTTTTCCGAACCAGCCTGCAATTCGGCCACCAAAGTTGTTAAATTGCCAAAACTGTTAATTTTGGCTGTTCAAGAGTCGACTCTGATTCGGCCACCTCGTCGTTGTTCGCGAAAAATATGACGACCATTTGGTCGTAAAAAATTCGGCCACACCCCATTTTCGGAATTGTGTGGCGATTTAACACGCCCTTATTTTCTATTGTAACCTTATTCGTTTAGAGATCTCCTCACCTAATGGCCAAAAGTGTTACAAGCTTTATCCAATTTTGTGGGGGAACAAAGGTTTCCGTTGGCTCTCGCGACTTCTGCGGGTTTGGTTGATTCGGCTGCGGTACGACGGCTGGAGATCGTTGGTGGCGGGAAGAAATAATTCAGTTTGCGTTCCATTCGCCCATTGGCCAATACTTTCCCAGCGGGATCGCCTCACCAGTCGAACAACGATTTCACGAACGAGCGAAACAACTCACAAGCAGAAAGCCAAGCAAAGCCCTGGTCGCATAGTCGCACGTCCCACACAAGCACGGGAGGTATGGAGGCGGCCGCGGAAATTTGCAATTTTCGCGAATGTGCGACTCGACATGCAATTTTGCGGAGGTGAGGCCGCCTCCAGCGCAGCCCCCAGTGGCGCCCCTCCAATGCATCACGGTTTATGGCTTGAAGGCTTGTGGCCTTGTTGGGCTAGGTTGGGATGGTTTGAGCTGGGTTGAGTGCATCAGAGAGATGGCTTCGCTCGCAACGCGGCGTGCAAATGCAACAAAAAGTGACATGCCTGCGATGGCGGTCGCCATTCATTCCTTTCTAAAACCGTGGCGGCATAGAACCGACCAAATCTCTCACGGTCTCACTCACCCAAGCTCACCAGCGAGGAGACGGCTAGCATCTGAACGCGACCTTGCTTGATTGAGAGGCCACATAGTCGCTGCGTCGAATTCTCGATGCGATCCTGGGTCGGCATAGGCGCCACCTCATGCCTTTCAAAGCCATAGTTTTACAAGCGAGAACAATTTCTCCCGTGGTACTAGCCCAGGTCCGATCAGCGCCCAGTCCGTTCTGATGGAACGTCATATCTGTTTCCCCTGTAATCGGTTCCTCTAACTTACCGCCTTTACCTCCTTAGGGTGTGATTCTTCCGCAAAATTAACTCACCTTGACCCAAAGTTTCTCACTTCTGCAACCCCGGATGGCCTAGAGATATTTATTCTCAGACAAGCAGCAGTTGCTGCCTCTTTGTTCACCATTCAGCACGACCAACGCCATACACGATCGTCAGTCCCGTTCCTTACAGAACCATAGCAAACCCCAAACAACGCAAGGCGGTTTAGTCGCGTGACCTGGTCATGGCGTCTTCTAGAACATTCTCCCTTTACTCCTCCATTCCCTCAGCCGACGCCGCCCCCTCATGTAGAGTCCATCCGATCTCGGACGATCCACCGTCAGCGAGCAAGCAGAAACGTCTCGACTCATGTTGCGGGTCGTCGCAAACACTCCCAGACGACCCCCCCTCCGCCAGCAAGCAGAAGCACCCGCCGCGCCGCAGGAGCATCTTGCGCCGGCTAGGCGCCGCCGTGGATTACGGGATTAACTACGTCTTTAGCGGGCTCGCGCGGGTGGTGGCGACGCATCCGATAGCCGTGCTGGCGCTGACGATCGGCGTGGGCGTGCTGATGGCGTGCGGCGTGTTCAAGATGACCGTTGAGACCAACTTGGAGGAGCTCTACACGCCGCAGGGCAACGTCGCCTTCCAGAACCGGGTGAGCCTCGGTAACGGTGGGTGTCAATGGGTCTGGGCTGGTAAGGTTGGACCGTGCAAGGTGGAGTGCTTTGAGGTGCTGGATTAAGATGGGGGAGTTGTGCATGGGTAGCCATGGGGCCAAGGCACGGCCTTCTTTACTTCCCTTTTCGCGTGCCTTCAACGCACGGGAACACCTATGTCGCGTTTTACATAAGAGGACATGAATCAGTGCGCAATTATCGCAGTCACAATACAAAGGCGTGGTTCAGAGACGAGAATCAACACTCCTTCAGAACGCGTGTATGTCACTGAATGTCGAGCCTTTTTCCGAGCAAGTATCTGTTTGCTTGCTTGCTTGGTTGCATGCAAACATTTTCTAAGCGTTTCTGTTTTCCAACTCCGTGTTTGGGCGAGCGGGTTTACAGGACTACGTGGATTCGCTGTACGGCTACGAGGCGCTAGACGTGAAGGTGTTTGTCGTGTCCAAAGGCAACTCCAACCGCACCGTGCTCACCAAACCCGCGCTGCTCGCCCTGCTCGACGTCTACGAGCTCATAACGAGGTAACTCAAGCGAGTCCCTTCTCCCCGCAACTAGCGAGAGCTGACATACCGTCTGGTTGCGAGCCTCTCGTTTTCTTTATCCTGTTCCGCCTCCCCCTTCCCGCCCCCTCCCCTTCCGCGCTGACTGGACGGCTCGCAGCGTGAACGCGACGTACAACGGGTCGACGTTCAACTACGGGGATCCGCGCATCTGCTACCGGCCGGGCGGGCAGAACACGCCGTGCCAGGTTGTGAGCGTGCTGGACTACTGGGGCTACTCGCGCACGGCCATTCAGCGCGACAAGGACATCATGAAAACCATCAACAACCCCTTCGTGCTCGTACGTCGTCGCCGCTTCGCGCACACACATTATTGATTTTAACTCAAACTCACTCGGACGAACGCCGCCTATGTCCTGACACTGCACCGCTCCGCAATTCCCCCTCCCCACTTACCCTTTTCCCTCTCCCCTTCGCCAATTACCCTCGCCAATTCCGCCCCTTCCCTTTCCCCTTCCCCTTCCCCCTTCCCCTTCCTTCTTCCCCCTTCCCCTTCCCCCCATTGCGCGCGCAGACGCGGTACGGGCAGCCGGTGCCGCAGGACTGGGTGGTGGGCGTGCAGAGCAAGGACGCGGAGACGGGCGAGATCGCGGAGGCCAAGGCGTTCCTGCTGACGCTGTTCGTGCAGAACAACAAGGGGTGCTCCGGCAGCAGTTGCAAGGACTACTTGGTTGAGGAATGGCAGAAGGCCATCGACGCGCCCGTCCGCGCGGTGAGCGAGATGGGGGAAAGGTGGGGTGAGGGAGGGTATATGACTGTGGTGTCTCGGGCAGAAGCTGCAGTAACTACCTGGTTGAGGAGTGGCAGAAGGCCATTGACGGGCCCGTTCGCGCGGTGAGCGAGACCGGGGGAATTAGTTCCTGTGCAGAGGGAGGAATTACGTATTTGATTTGGGAGCGTGGTGTGTGTGGTGCGCTTTACGTGTGTGCTCACCCCCCCCGATTCCTCCCTATCCCTCCCCGTCCCGGTTCCCATCCTCCGCGTTGCTTCTCCTCCCCCGAGCAGTATTCGAGCGACTAGATCGACGTGTATCTGCTCTCCTACTGGGGCCAGCAAGCGCGTGTTCAGGTGTTTGGTGCAGTGTGTTTGGTCAACCCGGCTCTTCTCTCATTGCTCACCCTCCTCGCCCCCCGTCCCTGTTCCTGCCCCGTCACCCCCCGCGCAGTATTCGAGCGACGTGATCGACGTGTATCTGCTCTCTTACTGGGGCCAGCAGGCCGCGAGCGACAGCGCGCTGACGGCGGACGTGAACCTCTACTTCGTCAGCGCGTTTCTCCTGCTCGCGTACAGCCTCTTAATCCTCTTCCGCCGCCACCCCGTGCACTCGCACTGCTACCTCGCGCTCGTCAACATCGCGTCCGTCACGCTCGCCGTGCTGGGCTCGTACGGGCTCTGCAGCCTGTTTGGGTTGAAGTTCAGCCTCGTCACGCAGTCGCTCGCGCTGCTGCTGCTCGGGCTGGGCACGGACGACATGCTCGTGACGATGGCGGCCCATGACGAGGTGAGATGCGGTGGGGAGCGGTGGGGAGAGGCGGGGGGGCCTGGGAGTGGGTGAGAAGAAGCAGGGGAGTCAGTGGTTGGGCCGAGATAAGTTGTTTTCGTTTTCGTTCTCTGTTTACATTATAACTTTCGAAAGCTCCATGATAACATGGCTTTTTGTTTACATGTCATTGCTTGTCCGCTTCTCTCCCTGTTTCCCGCCTTATCTTCCGCTACTTGCACCGAGCTCACTCTCTCTGCACCTCCCTCCTCCGCCCTCTTCTCTTCCCATTCGCTCCTTCCCCCACTTTCCCCCCTCCCCCTCATGCCCCCATACCCCCGATCTCCCGCCCTTCCCGTTACCCCCGTCTGTGCCCCCAGACGGCGCGCGACTTCCCGAACGCGTCCGTGGTGGAGCGGATCGTCGCGACGGTGTCGCGCGCGCGGCGCGGCGTGATCGTCGCGGCGCTGACCAACTTCGTCGCGTTCTGCACGGGCATCATCTCCGAGCTCCCCGCGCTGCGCGATTTCATGATCTACGCCGCAGTCGGCGTCGTCCTCGTCTTCATCTTCCAATCCACGCTCTACGTCGCGGCGCTCACGCTCGATCTGCGCAGGCAGCGCGCGAACCGCATCGACACGCTCTGCTGCCTCGTCAGCTCCGCCGGCCCCACCGACGGCTGCTGCGGCCGGCCGTACGATCGAAACCTGCCCGGGGTGGATCAAACTGTCATAGGGCACTGGCTCCCCGCGCTGATCCTCCATCCAATCGGGAAGATCGTCGTGGTTTTAGGGACGCTAGGGTTACTCGCGACCGGGATCTACGGCGCGTTTAACGTGACGCAGAATTTCAACATCGACTGGATGGTTCCCGAAGGCTCGTACGTGCGTGACGTGTACCGAATCCGATCGCAGACGTTCCCCCTCGCGTCGGGTCAGGGCGCGCTGCCTGTCTACGTCTACACGACGAACCCTACGGCGAATTTCACGTCGGTTACCAACACTTCGTCGGGGTCGTCGCGGCCCGAGGCGTGGGTCGCGCCGTCATCGCCGGTGCCCTTGGACTATTTTAATATGCAGGACGAGCTAGCGGCGCTGGGCGTGCGACTGCAGGCGGACCCGTACGTGTCGTTCTCGCCGCCAGTGCAGTCGTGGTTCGCCAATTACCTCATCTGGCTCTCCGCGTCGCCGCACGCGCCAATGCTCGACGCCAACGGACGGTAAGGACCCCCCGCACGCATGCATGCCTGGATCATGCCTGGATGCCTTGAACGCCTTTGAAAACTGGTCGAGTTATCTGATCCCTGTGCTGCACCTGCCCCTTCCCTTTCCCCCCTTTCTCTACCCCCAAGCGCACGAGTGGCTGCTGAATTCCCGCTCTCCTCAAATCCCTCCCGCTTCCCGTCCCTCCCGCCCGCCCTCCCTCCCCCCCAGTCCCCCCACGCCCGAGCTCTTCTACGCATGGCTGCACGAGTTCCTGAACTCCGTCGGCCGGCGCTTCCGCCTGGACGTGGTGTTCGACCGGAACAACGGCTCGGTCATCCTGTCCTCACGCTTCTTCGCCATGACGCGCGGGCTCAACAACAGCGCGCAGCAGGTGGACGCCATGAACTCGATCCGCGCCTCGGCCGCCGCCGCCGCGCCCACCCTCGGCGCCTTCTCCTACACCTTCCCGTTCATCTTCGTCGAAGGCTACGCCGTGATTCAACCCGATACCGTCCTAGCCATCGCCATCGCCGGCGCGGTCGTCTTCGGAATCATGCTGTTGCTGCTCGCGGATTTGACGTGCAGTGTGCTGGTGGCGGTGATGGTAGCGGCGATAGGGGTGGAGCTGGTGGGGTGCTTGTATTGGTTCGGGCTGGCGTTTAATTCGGTGACGTCTATCACGCTGCTGCTCGCCATTGGGATTGCCGTGGATTACTCGGCCTTCACTGCCTTCTCGTTCCTCTCCCAGGTGGGTTGCTGTGGGTGGCCAAGCGTACGCGTGGTTGTGTGCGTGTGTGTGCGTTTTCATGTTTGTGTGTGTGTGTGGGTGTGTGAGGGTGGCGGGGAGGTGGAGGATATGTGCCTCACCAGCCCGTGCATTCCTTGTTGTCTTCATCCATTCATCCACCCTCCATTACCCCCTCCCCAATCATTCACCGCTCGCTTCATCCCCCATTCCTCCATGTGTTCCGTCCTGGTGGCCTTGGCTGCAACAAGCAGGTGGGCACGCGGCAGGACCGGGCTCGGAGGGCGTTGAACCACCTGGGAGTGGCGGTGTTCAACGGGGGCTTCTTCATGTTCCTCTCCATCCTCCCCCTCGCCCTCGCCAAGTCCTTTGTCTTCCAAACCTTCTTCAAGGTATGTTGTACCTCTGTCTGTAGCTGTGTGTCCTTTTTCCCTCCGCCACAATGACTGTTCGTGCTTTTGTCGGTGATTGTAGCTGCAGAGTAGTGTCCCACTAGTTGAGTTACTCTTGCCAATCACTTCTTCATTTGACATGTACTGCATGCGTCTCGAACCGTACTCGCTTCTAGTCTTCAGCTTCATGGGTCATGGCATCCCACGTCCTCCTGAGACCCCCCCCCCCTGTGCATTCTCCTGTCCCCATCTCCCCACATCAGTCCATGGTGTCACTACATGGTTCAAACCATCATCAGCATCACACCTTCCCACTCTCGTGACTCTCTTGCTTCCCTCCTGCTCCTGCTGGCCCATCTCCCATCCCACCCTTCTCTGCAGATGTTTTCTATGATTGTGGTGCTAGGACTATGGCACGGCCTGTGCACGCTGCCAGTGCTGCTCTCCCTCTTCGGCCCACCACCATTCGAGACATCCCTGGAGGCGCACCAAGTGCAGCTAACCGCAGGAACGTCTTCGGCCCGAGTGGCTGATGCTGTCATGCCAGATGAGCTGCCAGGTGTTTCTTCAGGTGGTTCTGCATGCAACGGTGCCATAATGGTGACTCCGGAGAAGCAAGGTACCGGTGTGTGTGCCACCATGGCCTCAGCACCTGCTGTTGTGATGATGACGACTCTGTAACGAGGATGGAGCTGAGTGCTGCTCGTGTGACCGCTTAATCGACGGGAAGGGAAAAGGAGAATTTATACTGTCGAAAGGCTGCATGGTTGTGAAATAATAAAACCGCCTGCCTGAGCGGATCTCTAGATCATGGGTGCATGATGATTTACACCCAAGAAGCCCCTTGAAGCCTTCAAGCCAGGCACTGACTTCTGACATGCCATGGAGGGAAGCCGGTTAGTTAGGAGGCGGAGCTTCAAATTTTACTGCCTAGAGCTGCTGGTGCTACTAGTTTAGAGAATGCTTATGCTGTTCCCTCCACATGTAATTTCATTCATATATGTCGAGTTATACGAATAGAGTCACAAGCAAGTAGCCGAATGCGGTGTACAATAAGATCGCGATGTATCAAAACCCAAGAATGTCCCATATCGAATGGGTGAATGGGGCTCATTGATTCATCACGCAACACAAAGCCGGAACGGGATTCCCTAGGGGATGATGGCATAGCATCAAACCCACCACATGAGTGATACAAGAGTCATGTGGTGCCGTATGTCCTTCCACCTTTTAGTTTCCACAACGCACGCATTCCTTCCAACAGCCAGCAAGTTCTGTGGCAGTCGTGGTCTCCGCCCTCCTTGCGAACGCCTGTATCGCTCTCTCGTCGCCGCCACACGCACCGTAACGAATCGTCGTCACATCACCACTCACACGAGCTATTTCGTCGTGATTTGTACGGCTGCGAGGCCATGGAGGGTGATGGCGAAAGTCGGAGAGTCTTGTTGTGACCAACCACTACCTGCCGTTTCTCTCTCGTCCGGGCTTTTGCTGCTTTTATGCGTCACACGATGACGATTGATTCCTGAAAACGTGTTTATTGGCCTCTCTTGCCCTGCCCACTCATCGCGCCCTTTTTGGCGCGTCCGATTTGATGGATCCGACGACTTCCATCGCCTTCTGCGAAGCTTCAATCCACGCCGTTGATCCCCCTTCCGATCCTTGTTCAGCGGAACCCGCAAAACCTCCAAAGGATCGCTCCCCTGATCAACTGTCTGCTGCTGTCGCACCTACAGAAACCCCTACGGAGACCTCTAGAGAGTCGCCTGCAGAAACGCCTGTACAGACTCCCATACACACCACTGCAGCGATCCCTGCACACACAGACACACTAGCAGAACCCCCTGGAGAGACAGCAGCAGGAATCACGGAAATCACGGACGCGCACCAGCCCCCGCGTCCATCCTCCTCCGTCCCTCGTTTTCCTGCTCCCGCTTCGCCCACCGCATCCTCGCTACACGCCTCATCGATTGTGGTCGCCTCTCCTCCCGCCGCGTCTCTCACCGCGTCGTCCGTACCCGCCTCGTCCTCCTTCTCCTCCAATCCCCAGTCAGCAAAATCTTCCTCCTCCAACTCCCTTTCCGCATGGTCGCCATGGCGCCTCGTGACCTACTTCACCTCTTCGCGCGCTCCGTCTCTCCCGTACGACGTCCGTACCTCCGACCGCCTGCTCGCGCCGCTTCCCCTCCCGCCCGAAACGAAGCAAAACATCTTCGCGCTGCGGCACCCGGTCAGCGGCGCGATCGTCTACGTCGTCCCCACGACCTTCCTCTCGCGCCAGTCCGAGCAGGACACGTGGCAGGTGATCTCGGCGGTGCGGCCTGACGTGGTGGTGGCACAGGTGTCGCTGTATGACCGGCTGCTGCTGATGGAAGGGGAGATGGGGCGATTGCCGGTCCGAGACGAGCGGAGGGGAGGGGGAGAACGGGGAGAACGGGGAGAAAAGGGAGAGATACTGCGCATATGCGAGAAAGAAGGAGCGGGAGAGGGAGACGGCCAGGGAGAAGGGGAAGAGGGAGCAAGGGTGAATGGCGAAGGAGGTGAGGAAGGAAGGAGTGCAACGAGCCGAGCCGATGGGGGACAGACAGGCAGAAAGAGAATAGGACAAGCAGCAGCAGCAGGAGATACAGTACAATTATCAACAGAAGCAGGAGCTACAACAGCAGCGACAGCTGAGCGAGAGCAGCAGCAGCAGCAGCAGCAAGTGCATCAGCAGCAGGTGCAGCAGTTGGGAAAAGGTCAAGTACCAGAGACACCAGCAGGCGTGGTGGCGTGCGCAGCACTGCAGCACGTGGACAGCGCGAGCATGCGGCGGTGGGGCGTGCAACACGTGATAGAAACCATCTTTGGCGCGCATGTCGCTGGCCCCCTTGCTGCTGCGCGCGCCCTCTCCGCCGCCCATGGGTCTAAACTGCTGTACCTGGTGGACCCTGGGGTGGGGGGAGGGGGAGAAAGCGCGGGCGGAGTAGCCGCAGGGGGAGGGGGAAGGGAAGGGGGAGGGGATGAGAGTGAGGCGGGCGCATGGGAGGGAGTGGGGAGGAAAGGGACAGGGAAGCGGGTTGGGGTGGGGTGGGGGGGAGGCGGAGTGGGGAGGATGGGAGTACAGGCGCAGCTTTTGCCAGGTGGAGCAGGTGTGGTAGGTACTGAAATAGGGGATGAGGGGCAGAATGAGAGGGGTGCGCATGCCGCGGAATGTGACACTCAGGATTGTGCGTGGCTAGGGAGTGAGGTGGAAAGGAAGGGGGTGAGTGACGGGAAAAGGAAGAGTGTGCAGCTTGTAGCAGTGGATGGTGTAGTTGTTGGTAGTGCCTCCCCTGGAAAGGTGGTGATTAGTGATGGTTCCCGGGAAAGAGGGAGTAGTAAGAAGGAGCGTGCGAGGGCGAGTGCACGAGCGCGTGCGTTTGACCTCTGCCTTGCCAGCCCCCGATCTGCTGCGGCTTCAGAGTCGACTCAAAAGGCAGGAAGAGGGAGTAGTAGCAAAGAGCACGCCAGTGCCAGTGCCAATGCCAGTGCCAGTGCGAGTGCTCGTGCACGTGCGTTTGATCTCTGCCTTTCCAGCTCCCGGACTGCTGTGGCTCCGGAGCCTGAGTCAACTCTAAAAGGGGCAACAAGAGGGAGCAGCAAGCAACACGCACGAGAGCGAGCACTTGCTCTCTGCCTCTCCAGATCCTCGCCTTCTCCTCTTCCTCGCCCTCCTCCGTCTCCGCATCTGACTCTCCCTCCTCTGCCCGATGTCGCGTGTCACTTCGCCCTGGCACAATTCGGCCCAAAGGCTCTAGCTCTTCTCGCTCACCCCACGTTGGTTAGCTCTTTAGCCGCCAGGGATGGCATGCCAGGCGCTGCTGTTACAACTGCTGCTACAGCCGCTGCTACAACTGCTGCTACATCCGAGGCTGGAGTTTCTGGTTCGCTTGATCGTGGGCCAGCAGAAGCAGAGCAGAGCGGAGAGGTTGGGAAGGAAAGGCAGCGAGGGCAGGGAGAGGGGGAAGAGGTCGCGTGGGGGGATAGGGAGGTGGCTGAGGGGGTGCTGTCAGCGCTGTCAACGTACGAACGCGCGTTTGAAGAGATGAAAGGGATGAGGGAGGCTGCTGCTGCTGCCAGGCTGCTGCTGGCTGCTGCTGTGGCGGACGGGAGTGGGGTAGGGGAGAGGGAAGCGCAGGAGGGAGAGGGAAAGAGTGGGAGGAAGGGCGAGGAGACGGGAGAGAGAAGGGTGCGAGGGGATAATGCAGATGGTGGTTCTGCTTCTGCTGCTGCGGATACCCGTGCTCTTGTTCCCGTGGGCAGGGAAGGTGCAGGTGCAGCAGCGTCCTCGTCACAAGCAGACCCGTTACTGGCAGATGCTGTACAGCACGTGCGGCTGTACGGGCGCCTGGCAGACGTGATTCGCGAGGTGCAGATAGAGGAGGCACGATCAGCCCCCGTGGATCCATCAGAATCTGTGTTCACGCGTTTGCGGCTGATGGATGGGACGATGGGTGGAGGGGGAGGAGGGGAAGGAGGGAGAGGCAAAGGAGGGAAAAAGGGAGGAGCGGGAGGGGGGGTGCAGGATAAAAGAACCAAGGAGGTGGCAGAGCGAGGGGAGGGGCATGTGTTGAAAACAGAAAGAGGAGGAGAAGGGATAGGCAGGGCAGATGCAACCAATGGTGCGGCGGGTAGTGGGGCCGGCAGTGGTATGCCACATAGTCACTCTCGTGCTTCTAATGAGGGTGCTAGAAGTGAGGGTGAGAGTATTGACGGTGAGGGTGCTAATTCCGAAGGTAGTGGAGGTGGTTGGGTCAATGCGAGAGCGGCAGCAGCAGGGGATGGGAGAGCCGGCCAGGGGAATGCGCATGAGGCTGAGGGGGGCAGATTCAGGCGTTTCCTCAGGTGGTTTCGCGGAGACGCTGTGCAGGAGAGGGCGTCAGGTGACGCTTCTGCTGGGAAAGGGCGAGTGGTGGAAGAGGAGGAGCAGGAGCAGGGGGTGAGTAGAGGGAGGGACGGGAACCGTGGAAGCACAGAACTGGTAGTGAAAGGACAGCGAGCAGCAGCACAGGGAGTGGGAGCAGCAGCGAACACCGAAGAAAAGGCTGCTGCGGCTGCTGATGCAGCTGCTGCATTGCCAGTGTCTGAGTCGCACTCGGCTCTGGTGGGGCTGCAGCAGCTGTTGGAGCTGAGCAGGGAGGAGCAGCAGGAGGTGCTGCTGGTGCAGGCGATAGAGAGCGAAGCAGCAGCGCTGCAGCCCGGGCAGGCCATGGTTGTTACGCTCTCCACGTCGCTGCTCCCTCTCCTGCGCCGCTCGTGGCCTGCTGCTGCGGCTGCTGCTGCTGCTGCCGGCCGTGTGAACCCTGCAGCACCAGGAGCAGCAGCACCACCTGCCGCTCTTACAGGACCACCATCAACAGCAGAAGCAGCAACGCTAGCAGTAGCAGCAACGCCAGCAGCAGCATCCCCTGGCCTGTCTTCGAGCCTGCGAGCGTTGGCAAGGGAGTGCCTCATACCAGCCCATCTCTTTGAATCCCACGCTGCCTCCGCTGCTGCTGCTGGAAGGGGCCCTGACCACGCTTTCGCTGCGCTCTCTCCCGCAACAACTAGTGGTGTCAGTGGCAGCAGCAGCAGCAGCGGCAGCGGTGCTGGCAGTGCAGCAGGAGCGGCTCATAAAGCGTCTGCCTCCTCACTGGCAGCAGCAGGCGCAGGAGCAGGCGCGGCTCTCATCCTCATCACCTTCTCCTCTCTCTCCAAAACCCTCTCCCTCTCCGCGCTGCTCAAGCTGTTCACCCTAAAAGCCGCCTCGATAGCAGCAGGAGGAGCCAAAGGAAAGCTGTTCTCGCTGCTCATGCACCGCCTGGTGACAGCAGCAGGTATGAAAGCGTCTGCTGCTGCAGTCACAGGGCCGGTAGGAGCGAAACTGGCGCTTCTGGCAGGGAAGGTGGGGCTTCAAGGGAAGATCGCAGCTGTGGGGATTGGCAAGGCTGGAGCGATGGCTGGCGGCTCTGCTGCTGCTGGTGCTGCCGGTGCTGCTGGTACTGCCGCTGCTGGGAAGGCTGCAGTGGCTGCTGCTGGTGCTGGGAAGGCAGTGGCGACTGCTGCTGCTACTGGGGCAGGGAAACTGGCGGGTTCAGCTGGGCTTGTGGCTGGGACGGGGAAGGTGGCTGGAGGTTCAGCAGTGATGGTGTCGGGAGCTGGGAAGGCAGCAGCGGCTGGCGCTGGTGCTGTGGGAAAGGCAGCAGGTGCGGCGAAGGCAGTGGGTGTTTCAGCTGCTGGTGTGGGTAAGGCCGCGGTGGGCGTTGGAGGGAAGATTGCAGGTGCAGGTGCAGGGAAGATTGCAGGTGCAGGTGCAGGAAAGATAGCGGGTGCAGGTGCAGGGAAGATAGCGGGTGGTGTAGCTGGTGGGAAGGCAGCGGGAGGGTCGGCGGCAACGGTAGCGGGTGCCACTGGGTCTGGGAAGGCCACTGGCGCTGCTGTTGCCGCTCCTGCTGCCGCTGCTGCTGCCTCTGCCTCTGCTGCTGCTGCTGCTGCCGCTGCTGCAGCTACGGGTGCGGCTGCAGGGGCGGTAACCGCTGCTGCAGGTGCAACCACAGTCGCCACAGCAACAGCAACCGCCACAGCCACAGCGACAGCCACAGCAGCAACAGCAACTGCGACAGCGACAACGGCAGCAGCAGTGACTTCAGTGACCAAGTCGGGAGTGGCAGCAGCGGCAGCAGCAGCGGGCAAGGTGGGGGGGTGGGCGGGCACGACAGCACAGGTGGCAGTGGATTCAGTGCAGAGAGCAGCGTGGCAGCTGCTGCGAACCGTGCTTTACCAACAGATGCGCGAGCGGTCCCGCAATAGTAAGGGGCAGACGCAGCAGCAGGTGCAGGGGCAGGGGCAGGTGCAGCAGGGTAGTGCAACGGTTGCTGCTGGCTCAGCTGTTGTCTTGACCACAGCAGAAGCGGCGTCTGTTCCTGTTGTGGTTGGTGTGGGTTCTGTGCACGGGGCTGAACCCACAGCAGCAGTACGAGCAGCAGGAGCAGCGGCAGCAATGGCAGCAGTGGGAGCAGGGCCCGAGCAGAGCACACACATCCTCACCAGCTCAGGTAGCAGCACCCATCCGCTCACCTCAGCACCCACCGGAACCGCTCTAAATCCAGCAATCAACGGGGGAGACTCAGCCAAACCAGCAGGAGGGCGAGTGGCTCTCTGGCTGCAGCAGCAGGGGCGGAACCTCAGGGAAGGGCTAGCCAGTGCTGCGACCGAAGGGACCAACGACCGAGCATGGTTGACACTCGGAGCGACGATTGGAACAGTGGCTCTGGTGACAGCGTATCAAGAGGAGATTCTGTACGGGGTGGCTGTGCTGCCAGAGGCCCAGGGGCTTGCGCGTGTGGGGAGGGGCGTGCGGCGGGTGAGGGAGGTGGTTGAGGCAGCACGACTGCCGGAGCATAGGCTGGAGCAGTTGGGTCGGGTGGAGTTGTGAGACTGTGAAGTTGGGATGCTGGAGAGCGTAGGGTAGACGTAGACGAGTTAGATGATTATATCGTGTCGGGGTGTGGGTAGAGGTCGGAGGTGTCTAATTGTATTGGTTGGAGTTTCGGTACCGGAATGTCTCGATACGGAACTAGTTGGAAGAGGCTGGTGTGAATTCTGGTGCAGGGCTGGTGTGACACAGCATGGCTCTTCAGTATGGTACTATTGCTGGATTCATCATTAATTCCCCAGACATTGGCTGTACGGTAGCTAGTTTGTGGCACACGATGATCAGTAGTACATTTACCGATACCGTAAACTTTACTGAGATGGAAACATGGTCCTCTCCTCGTCCTGCATATACGGCATTGTATCCCTACAATCACCACAAAGGGCTTTCTTTGTGGCGCAGTGGAAACAGGGTCTATCTGTGCCTGAGCTGAGAGGGTCCAACCAAAATGTACCCTAGTCAGCAGGAGAATGCACTGCTGCTTGCAATGGCATGTTACCGGTACCAAGGGATGCTAGTGTCACTGTTCTTTCTTTTGCCTTCATACGGTACGTGCGATGCATCTTCCTTGCTGTGCTTCTCCCATTCACCGAACCACCATCACCACAGCCACCCATGAGGCACCGTACAGACAGATGGACAGACGGACCAGACCATACAGACAGACAGACATACTACGAGCCACAGGCCATGGTTGTTTTGCCCACGCTCTTCTCACGAAGCTACTCCGGCTTCTCGTCCAACCCCCCAACCCCGTTCCACTTCACCCCGGCCGCCCCCACTTACCACGTCTTGCTGAGCACTCGAAGGCGGAGGTAAGAGATGTATGTAAGGAGAAAGGGAGGGGCGAAGGTAACAGGGATGGAGGGGGGAAGTCAGCGAAGAAAAAATTGCCAAGAGAGGGAAGGATGGGGTTGAGGAATTAGACAGAGAGAACACGGGATAGGAAAGGGAGGAGACTGAGAGGAAAGGACGAGGAGCGGGGAGGGGAGCAGAGGTAGGGGGCCGGGGGAGGGAGGGATGTGGGAGAGAGAGAGAGAGAGAGGAGGAGGAGGAGGAGGAGGAGGAGGAGGAGGAGGAGGAGGAGGAGGAGGAGGAGGAGGAGGAGGAGGAGGAAGGGGAAGGTGGGAGGTGGGAGAAAAGGCAGGAGGGCAGGGCGTGGTGGAGACAAAAAGAGACGCTGGATGACAAAGAAACAAGGAGGATAACGAGAGGGAGGAAAAGAAAGGGGACAGGGACCGGAATGGACTTGAACTCCCATAGTGACACTGACGACTCACAGGTGAGGCCATCCCATGCCCAAGCACATGCGCACACACACATATAGACACACATTCGGCACATGCAGCCCGCCGAAACCGTTCCAAGAACGCCCAACATTCCCACAAAAACCCCTCTCATCCCTCACAACCCATGCACAATAGGTCGAAGGCCTCTCACATTCCCTGACCCCTTTAAACACTGGTGAAGGAAGGGAAAAGTGAGCCAGAGTGAGCCCACCCTTTCCTTTCCTCTAAGCTCAAAGGACCTAGTGACTGACGACGCGAGTGTCATTTCTGGTGCGTCTTGTTGGGACATGCAATTGCGTTGACGGGGGAAAGAAAAAAGAGATGTTCTGAAGTAAAATGGTTCTACGAATACAAATGCGTTCTTACAGGATATTGTTCTAAAACACTCTGACTGACACGGGAAGACTATAATTTTGTACCGGTCAAAGGAAGGGAGAGGGAACGGGAGCGAAGGAAGGAGTGAGGGCGGAAGGAGAGGAACTGATTTGCGGAAGCTGGAAAAGAGAAAACTGAAACCTGCATTATATATTGCGTAAACCAGCAACTGTCCATGAGCGAGCGACGAGGAAGCAGGATCAACCCGGTGAATATCCTGAAAGAATTCTGACGGGACTTTGAAGGAATCCTGAAGGCCATCTGGTGGGACAACTACCGACAGCTACCGAAAGCTACCGACAGTTACAGAAAGCGATTAGACTCTTCAAAACGGACCGTCTCCCGCCTACCGCATCCTCTAATAGCAGTCCGATGCACTGCCGCTAACTAGCAACCAGCGACCAGCGCCCCCGTCTCAACCTGCTGTCCTTCTCTCCCCGTTCCGCAGCCGCATTCCCCTCGCCCCTTACCCCGCTGCTCCCCCTCCCCCGCCCGCGCCCGCGCCCCGCCGCGCGCTCATCTCCGCGCGGGTGGTTCATCGCCAGAGCACCTCCATGGGGATGTTGCGCTCCTCCGCCACCTCCTTGAACTGCTTCATCTTGCTCACCGCGTCTAGCACGGCGCGCGCGTTGTTCAGCGGGTTCGGGCTCCCCAGCGACTTCCCCAGCGCGTTCTCCAGCCCCGCGAGCTCCAGCACCACGCGCACCGCACCTCCCGCGATAACCCCCGTACCGGTCGCCGCGGGCCGCAGCATCACCGACGCCGCGCCGAAAGTCCCCTCGGAGCGGTGCGGGAACGTGCGGTACTTGGTCATCGGCACGCGCACCATGTGGCGCCGCGCGTCCTTGACCGCCTTCTGCACTGCGGTGGAAACTTCCTTCGCCTTTCCGACGCCCACGCCGACCTGCCCCCCGCGGTCCCCGACAACGACTACCGCGCGGAAGGACAGCTGCTTGCCGCCCTTCACGACCTTCGTCACGCGGCGCACCTGCAGCACGCGCTCCGACATACCGTCGGACGCCTGGAGCCCGCGCCGACCGCCGCGTCCGCCGCCGCTGCCGCCCTCGCTGCTGTTGTCGGAATCGCCGCCGGTGCGCGCTCCCCTGCGCTGCCTGCGCGCGGGAGCCTCCTCGTCGTCCTCATCGGACGCGGAGAAGCTCTTAGAGTCCTTGACGACGCCGAACGGCTTTCCGTAAAGCGCCTCGTAGCCCGCGCGAATGTCCTCCTCGCTCTCCTCCTGATCGCCCTCCACGTCCGCGTACGAGGCCTTGCAGACGAATGCGGCTTCCGCACGCTGGCGGGGCGCGGAGGCGGACAGGGAAAGCGCGGATCCGCGGAGGGAGCTCGCGGAGAAGCTGAGAGGACGCGCGGTGGACGGGCCGTCGATCGCGGCGGTGGGCGCGAGAGAGAGGGATGAGAGTCCCAGAGAGAGGGAGGATGCCATGGCGGTAGCCATTGCAGCAGAAAGGGAAAACTCTAGCAACTGTTGCGATCTCGAGGAACAGCACGAGGCTGAAGTTGGGAGAGGAAAGGCTAGGCAAGGCAAGGCTAGGTGAGTGTGGGAGAGTCGTCGGTGGGTTGTGTGTGGGTTGAGTGCGGTGGGGTGGGGGAAATGGGAAATAGGACAATCCCAAGGGTCTGCGGTGATGTGATGGCTGGGATGGCTATGATGCGCGTGGAAGGCGGAGAAATACAGAGAGGGGATGTGTGGGGAACGGTGTGTGCGGAGAGAACCGCGGGATGTTGCACGCACAGCTGTAAGGGAGTGCGCAGCGGAGAGAGCAGCGGAGGGAGTAGCTTGTACAGCTGTATCCCCGTAACACAAGGAATTGGGGGAGGCGGATGAAAACTCTAGGCGATAGCTGATTGGGTCGTGCTGATTCAGCGCTTTTGCTGCCATGTTGGGGCGTTTGTTGAGCTCACGTGGCGAGACGAGAGAAACGTGGTGTGCGGAAATGTGTGACGACTCTAGGCGAAGCGTGGCGAAAATGTCCTGGTGGTAGCCCACCAAGGAGAAACTTTTTATCCAGAACGTGTCCACACGTCACACTTCGACTCGACCCGAGAAAGAACACAGTACTCGCTATAGAAACCCTCGACTCGAACCTGTTAGTCATTCATGCCACCAGTAGAAATGAAAGCATGAAATGAAATCATTTCAAGAATCCGTTTTAGTAGAAATTCACAACTACACACGGCATTTGACTCTGTCAACTCCCGCATGCACTTCCCGCTTCCATCCCGCCAACCTTCGTGCATGCGAATCACAGTTGCCTCCTCGGCACGCGATTTTGCCCCTCGAAAACAGACCAAGCTCCAAGCCCGACTTGCATATTCGCCTTCCACTCATGTCATTTCTTGAATAGTCTGCTGTGTTTCCCTCCCGTCATTTTTCGTCGGAAGTCTTTTTCGCTTCTTTATCTGATCGGATTTGACAGTGCGCGTCAACATCTTTGACAAACTCGACCTTGTATTCGTTCCGTTTTCCGTCAGTTTCTGCCGCGTAATCCTCCTTCATGAAGCTCCGTGTGCGATCCGCCCAAGGCGGCGCCACCCATCGCGTCGAAGCGCCGGCGCACTGCTCGCTCCGCGCGCTTCAAGAGCTCGTCGCTACCTCGTTCGGGATTCACCCGCCCGCTGCGCTGCGCCTCTCTTTGAACAAACGCGATGCGCTCACCGGTGGCGACGCCGGCCCTGAAGTGGCAATTTCGGAGCTCGGAATTCGCGGCGGCGACCTGATTTTTGTGCTGACCGAGGGCGCGGGGGGTGCAGCGACCGCGGAGGGGACGGTTCTTGCGGATGGCGTGGAAGGCGGCGGGAGAAGCGTACGGATTAGGAGGAATATTGTTGTCTCAGGTGTAGTCGGAGCGAATTCAGCGGTACCAGCACAACCAACACCGTCAGCGCTGCAAACAGCAGCAGCGCCAGCAGCCGCAGCGCCCGCAGCAACAGCGCCAGCCGCAGCAGCAGCAGCGGTAGCGGCGGTCGGAAGCGAGGAGTGGCAGCGGCAGCGCAGGGAACGGTGCGCCAGTGCTGCGCTTAGCAGGGCTGGGGGCGGGGATGGGCGCGTAGGGGCGGGCGGAAGTGACGACAGCGGAAGGGCTGCTGGTGGTGCGGCGAGTGTGGGAGAGAACACGACAGGGCGCGCAGGAGATGGAGAGGGGGAGGCAGCAATGGAGGTGGAAACGGTGGAAGTTGCCGTAGCGGCACCAGCACCAGCAGCAGCTGCTGCAGCAGCAGCAGCAGCAGCAGCACCACCACCCTCAGTAGCCCCATCAGCAGCACCGTCAGCGGCAGTAGCAGCACCACCCTCAGTAGCCCCATCAGCAGCACCGTCAGCGGCAGTAGCAGCAGCACCTGCGGCAGCAATTCCTGCCGCACTGAGCCGAGTGATTCGTGCAGAGATGCATAGTGTCGTGGGCACGGGGAAGGTTGCCATACCAGCAGCACCAGCACCAGCAGGAACAGCAGCAGGAGCAGGAGCGAAAGTGACTGATGGAGCAGCGGAAGATACGATTGTGCAGCATGCCCTGTCCCCAGCTGCATGGCTGGCACTGGCTGTGCATGGCGCTATGATAGAGACCGGATTCACTCCCATCACCCCTCCCAACAATCCTGTGAATACTGTGACCCCTGTAAGGTCCACTGGCCCTGTGGGCCCCAGTTCTGCACCAGCAAGCAACAACAGCAGTAGCAGCAGCAGCAGCAGCGGCGGCTGCAACGGTTTGGCTCCTCTCAGCTGGGCCCAGCCGTCCAAGCCTCTCACTGTTCGCTACACCATTGCCACTTCCTCCTCGTCCCCCTCGCCTGCCTCGCTCCCGCCGCTCCCTCCTCTTGTCTCCCTGCAATTCTGCTCCCTGGGCCAGTCCCTGCTGGTCTATGGCTCTACTCTCTCCCCCACCCCACTCTCTACCACTTCTTCCTCCGTCCCAGCCGCCTCTCCCCCCTCCATACGTCGCCTTGTCCTGCCATTCGCCTCGTTCCTGAAAGACCCTCAGCGCCAGCAGCAGGTGCAACAGCCCTCCCACCACCACCAGCAGCAGCAGCAGCAGCAGCAGCAGCAGCAGCAGCAGCAGCAGCAGCAGCAGCAGCAGCAGCAGCAGCAGCAGCAGCAGCAGCAGCAGCAGCAGCAGCAGCAGCAGCAGCAGCAGCTGCTGCAGCTCTCAACCCCGTCCCTGTCACAGGAACCCCTCCAGGTGCAGCAGCAGGGAGGCGCAAAGGCGAGTGTGGAGGCGGCACGGGTGGCAGCAGCGGTGTACGTGAGTGTGAGGGACATGTGGCGTTGCATCAAGGACCAACTCACTCTCCCACTCCTCTCCGACGCCTCCTTTCGCTTCCGCCTCTGCGCCTGCTCTGCTGCCACTGCCACTCCTGCCACTCCTGCCACTCCTGTCACTCCTGCTTCAGCTACTGGTGCTGCTTCTCCTGCCCCTCCCACGCTGCACATCCACTCACACACCTGCCCGAGACCTACCACCACCACCCACCACCGCTCCTCCTCCTCTCCCACCTCCCGCATCCCCTCCCCTGCACCGCCAGCACCGCTGCTCCTCTTCCTGCCGTCCCTGCTCGCGCTCCCCCACGAGCTCCGCCTGCTGCTGCTGAGGAAGCTTCCGCCTGTGGACCTCGCGTCCCTCGCATGCACGTGCTCCGACCTGCATTTTACAGTTGATGCTGCAGACGAGGTCTGGTTTGCTCTCTTCGCCACCGAGTTCTGCCTCCCTGCGACCCCTTCTTCTTCTCCCGCTCCTGCTACTGCTGCTGCTACCGGTGCCGGTGCTGGTGCTGCTGCTGCTACCACTGCTGCTGCCACTGCTGCAACGACTGCTGGTGGTGCTGCTGCAGCCACTGCCGCGCTCCCGCTCCCTCCTTCCCCACCCCCCGGGCACGCCAACTGGAAGGCTGCGTTCGGGGCGTGGTGGAAGAAGCGCAGGGAGAGGGAGCGAGAGGAGGAGGAGGAGAGGAGGCAAAGGAAAGCAGCAGCCCGTGCCGTTCGCTCCCGCTTCTTCCCCCCATTCCACCGCCCCCAGCCCTTTCTCCTCCCGCCGGGGGGAGGGTTTGCCCCTCCTGGCATGATCGGGGGGGATTATGACCGTTTTCCAGGCTTTGGGGGGGGAGGTGGGGGTGGGTTTGGAGGGTTTGGGGGCATGGGCGGGGTGGGGATCGGGGGAGGGGGGATGCTGGGCGGGGATGGGGTGATGGGGGGGGTGTTTGGGCCGGATGGGAGGATGATTGGGGGGGAAGGGGATGGGATGGATGTGGATAGTGGGATGGGTGGTTCTAGAGCCATGAGAGAGGCCTTGGGGGGAGGGCATGGGGGAGTGGGAGGCGGGGGAGGGATAGGTGGAGGTGGGAGAGCGGGAGGAGTGGGAGGTGTGGGAGGAGTGGGAGGAGTGGGAGGAGTGGGAGGAGTGGGAGGAGTGGGAGGAGTGGGAGGAGTGGGAGGAGTGGGAGGAGTGGGAGGAGTGGGAGGTGTGGGGAGGAGGGGTGGTGGTCGTGGTGACAGGTTCTTCCCCGGTGGTGGTACCATGGGTGGTGGTGGTGGTATGCCACGCTTTATCTGATGGCACCATCACCACCGCTGCAGTAGCCTGCCTGCATACACCACTGCAATCCGTGCCAGTACGGTAATAGACTACTGGAGACTACCGCATAATGAAACGACTGCAGCAGTAGCCATCTCATCTCACGATAAAATCTACCCCCCCACAGGGCTAAAGATACGTAGCAGCCTCTGAGTAGACGCTCACAACACACCTCTTTCCTTTCTTCTGTTGCTTGTTTCCAGTGCACTCTCTGTTTCTCTTTGCCATAGCATTGTACATGTCACTTCACAAGTGCGCCCTAGAGTCATTAGACTTGATTAGTGGGCTTTAGTGCAAGATCTCAAGCATGAGAAGAAACCAGCCTATACACACCACACCACAACACACCCCAATACACAGCTAGCTGAAAGAGCCAGGCCTGGCAATTGTACGGTCTGGACCCTGGACTCTGGAAACAGGATCCATGAAAAAGCAAGTCACATGCGAGAGAGTGCAGCAACACCACACCAGCACCACACTAGTGCCACAGCAGCGCCACAGCAGCATCAGCACCTCACAACAACACATGGTTCCTCCTTCCTGCACATTCCCCTTCACTGCAATGCAGCGCCTGCACACCACCGCAATCCATTGCACCGACTGCACTTCACTTCACCTACACTACCCTACCTACACTGCTCCGTACTACCCAAGCCAGACGCCGGGTCACTTATGGTGAGCCGGCGGCATGTCACACAGCGGCATGTCGATAGCCGAACAAGGAACAGGAGGGAACAGGAGGTGCCTCAACAGAAGAATGCTGATGACGGAAGGGAAGGGAAGGGCACAGCTGCCCTTTCACCCACCCACTCACCGTGCCTAGCCTACACTCCACCCCATTCCCCCAGTCACAGCGCAGGCACGCGCGTTCGAGGTGCCTCAACAGCGGTACCTATGCTGATGACCGGATAGGGATCGGAAGGGAAGCACAGCTGCTCTTCACCCATCCACCTCCACCCACCAGCCCGTCCAACCATCCACCATACCTATGCTACACTTCCTCTCCCTTTCCCTTACTCCCCCTCCCCTCTTGCACTTGCTACAGTCAAGCTCTTCCCCTCCTTCACCACCCTCTCCCTCGCGCCCCCCCTCCCCCTCCCCTCACGCCCTCTGCTTCCCTGCCCAGGTTTAGGCCAGACCCGGTGGTCCACCGTGGTTCCGGGGGCTCCAGGAAGCTTAGTTCAGATACCCGGGAGGGAGTTCAGATACACTTCCTGCCGCAGCCACTCCGTCATCCCCCTCTCCCTCCCACTTCCCCTACCCCTCCCCCATCCCCCCTTTCCATGCCCAGGCCCAGTTAGTCCACCATGGTTTCAAAGACACTGCAGGAAGCCCCAGAACATGCGCACCAGCCACACGTTGGTCCACCCACCATGGTTCACTCTTCAGAATTACCATGGTTCTCAAACAGTCACAGCACAGGCGCACTTCTCTTGCGCTTGCTCCGGTCAACCTCTCCCCCTCCTGCCCCTCCTCCTACGGCCAGGCGGTACATCTGCCTCAGCCCCTCATTGGCGCGCTGCAGGTTGCTCAGCAGGCGAGCGTTTTGCAGCTGCAATGCCACTAGTGATTGGTCCTCCTGGCACAGAAGGGGGGTGGGGGAATGGGGGGAAAGGGGGAAGGGACAGGGGCGAGTGGGGGGATAGGATCCCAGCATTACCCACCAGCCTTACTTTCACCTTCATCTCTTTCAAGTGCGGTCTGAACCAGTACCTCACTGCTGTCACTTAGATGGAATGGAAGCAACCAACAAAGCAAGCATACACCATACAGCAAGCAGGTCCCACCCACCCACACGCTCCATTCTCAACAAACAAGCACCCACCCGCCCCACGCTTACTCACCTTGGTCTCAACCACGGTCCGCACCAGCACCTCGCTGCTGTAACACCAGCCCTTTTTGAGTCGACTCAAACGCCAGCAGCACCCACTCGCGCCACTCTCAAACAACCAAGTACCCACCTATGCACCCACCCATGCATCCCACGCTTACCCCACTCTAACTCACCTTGGTCTCAACCACAGTCCGCACCAGCACCTCGCTGCTATAACACCCGTCCACTCCCCCCCACTCCTCGCCCTCCTTCTCCCCGCCCACACTCCCCGGAACCGGCACCAACCCCCCACCCACTCCCCCTGCTCCCCCCCCTCCCCCTCCCCCTCCAGCAACATTCGGCAGCAGCAGAGGCGCCTCCTCCCAGGGTTCACTCCCCGTGAGGCCTGTGGCAGCAGCGTTGGCGTACTTGTGCAGGGGCATGGGGGGAAGGGCGGAGGGCTTGCGCGCAGAGGCAGAGGCGGATGAGCGGGAGATGTCGGATGAGGGGAAGAGCGCGGGGGGCTTGGGGAGGACGAGGAGACAGGAGACGGGGCCTGGGGGGTGGGGTGGGGCGAGGAAGGGGGGTTGTGGGAATGGGATGGGGGGATGGGGGGATGGGGGTAGGGGAGGAGATGACTTTTTGAGTTGGTTAAGAAGGTGGGAGATGTTCAGACGAAGGGAAGAGCGCGGGGGGCTTAAGGAGGACCAAGAGGCAGGAGACTGGGCCTGGCGGGGGGGGGGAGGGGGTGGGGGGTTGGGGGAGAGGGTGGATGTGGAAAGGAGGGAGGGGGGAGGAGGGGAGAGGGGATGGGACGGGGAGGGGATGGGCGAAGGAGTGTAAGGGGAGGGGATGGGCGAAGGAGTGTAAGGGGAGGGGATGGGCGAAGGAGTGTAAGGGGAGGGGATGGGCGAAGGAGTGTAAGGGGAGGGGATGGGCGAAGGAGTGTAAGGGGAGGGGATGGGCGAAGGAGTGTAAGGGGAGGGGATGGGCGAAGGAGTGTAAGGGGAGGGGATGGGCGAAGGAGTGTAAGGGGAGGGGATGGCGGGTGGGCGGGCAGGACGGGAGTGAGGAAGGGAGCGAGGGAGGAGGGAGGGAGGGAGAACAGGCGCACCTTTGCAGTTGGTGAAGGTGCGGAGCAGCTGGCGTGTGACGGTGTCCCACACTCGCACGGTACAGTCCTCTGATGCCGATACCAGCGACACCGCGTCCGCACTGAACTCCAGTGCCGTGATGCTGTGACTGTTGGGGGGGAAAGGAAAGGGCGGAGAGTAAGGAGAGATGCAGAAGGGGAGAGGGCGAGCGAGCATGTGTAGCGAGCTTCGGGGGGACACGACAATGCACCACACCGCACCCCAGCCACTGCACCACAGCTCACCATACCGCACCACACTGCACGCACCTGTGGCCGATGAGGGCATCATCATGCGTCATGGGGTCCATGGCGCTGCTGCTGACGGCCGTGAAGTTGAGTGCCGTGAGGTAGATGTTGCCATCCGCTCCCCCCGCATACAGCGTGTACTCGCCCGGGTCCATGGCTGCTGCTGTCACGGCCACCGGAAACACGTACGACCGCAGCAGCGCCCCCATTGCTAGACTCCAGATCTGGTGCGGTAAGGGGAGGGGGGGAAGAGGGGGGGAAGAAAAGATTGGGGAGGAGGGGAATGAGGGTGGGCAAACAATTGGGGTTCAGGCAGAGAGGCAGAAAGGCAGGCAGGCAGTTCAGCAGCTGGTGGAGCAGTAGCAGGAGGCAGACACGCATGCAGGGATGGGGGCACGAGCGGTGGCAGGGCAGCAGCACACGCACCTTGCAGGAGTGGTCAGAGGAGGACGAGACGAGCACGGAGTTGACTCCGCCCGCTGCCATCCACAGCGACGTGATGGCCTGACGGGAGAGGGGGATCGCGGGCGAGCATTGAAGAGATACAGAGGGAGAAGATGAGAAGGAGAAGCACAGGGCGAGATGAGCGGAAGGCTTAGGTGTCGTTCGACCATGAGAAGAGCAAGCGCGCGGGGAGATTCTTGGTATGATAGTGCGAGGAGAAGGTGAGAGGGGGAAGGAGGATGAGGGACGGAGGACACAGAGCAGAAACAAACAGCTTGCTGCCATAGCTTGTCGGGGAGAACCAGGGCAGCGCGGGGAGGGAGGGGAGGGCGGGGAGGGCGGGGAGGGCAGGGAGGGCGAACAGGGCGGGGAGGGCTGGGAGGGCGGGGAGGGCTGGGAGGGCGGGGAGGGCGGGGAGGGCAGGGAAGGCCCTCTATGATCCCCACCGACACTCAAACCCCCTTCACACCCTAAACCCGCTTTCCCGCAATCCCCCCTCCTCTCCTTCCCCGTTTCCCCCCTTGACCCCCATTCACGCCCCTCCACAAGCGCATCGTGACTCATCCCCCTGCGCCCCACCTGTTGGTGCTGCTGCCACGTGTACATGGGCTGCACGCCCCCTGACCCCTCCGCTCCCCCTCCGCCCTTCCCGCTCCCCGCCCCGCCCCCTCCCCCTGGTTGATTCACCCCGTCTAGTATCCTGCGCACATGAGCGGGAGAAGGGGGGTGCCGGGGGATAGGGGAGGGGGAGGGGAGGAGGGAAGGGGAGGGGGGAGGGAAGGACGTTGGAGGGGGGCATTGGGGGGCTATGAACAGGAGTGGGGAAAGTACAGGGGGGAGGCGGGAAGGTGAGGCTTTGGGCGGGAAAGGAGGCAGGGTGAGAGGTAAACGCCCGCCTGGACGCACGACGCCTGAGATAAAGGGGGCAGGCTAACGCTAACAGATGAGCTGGTTGGGAGGGTTGAAAGTGTTGGGAGGGTTGGGAGGGTTGGGAGGGTTGGGAGGGTTGGGAGGGTTGGGAGGGTTGGGAGGGTTGATAGGGTTTAGCTCTTAAACGCCCCAACACCTGAAATCTAGGACAGAGGACCCCTAAACGGGTTCTTGGGACCTCGGAACAGGGTTTAAGGCGCCTAGTGCCAGGAAAATTTAAGCCCGGGATAGACTAGAGTAACCCCCCCAGTACCGAGGTCACCGCCCGCCGTGCGCGCGCAGTACACACACGTCAGCAGCATTGACTGACTCACCGCACGAGGGGTGTGACGTGGATGATGCTGTCCTCCCCCGCCGACACCAGCAGCGCGTCGTCGTCCGACAGCGCAAGACACGTCACCGCGCGGTAGTGCGCCGCCCACACGCGCAGCAGCCGCCCGGTCGCCGCCTCCCACACGTAAACGCGCCCCGACACGCCGCCGCCGCAAAGGTACACCCCGTCCGCGGTCGCCGCCAGCGGTCCTATGGCCTCCGTCGTCGGGCTGCGCACCGCCACCGCGGACTGCGCGGGGAGCGGGGTTGCGCGGGGACGGGGAGCGCGCGGGGCGAGAATGGATTCCGGCGACGGGAGAGTCGCGCGTGGGGAAGGGTGAAGCCATGAGATGGGGAGCATGACGAATGCGGTGCGCGCGGCGGGGGATGGCGGAGAAGGGGGAAATTTGGTGAGGAGAGAGAGCAAAAACCCGACTAGAATCGTCGAAACTTGATACCAGAGAATGACGGGAATTAAAGTGTTTGGAGGGGTTTCTAGAAAAGAAGCTTCCAGAAAACTACTCAGAGCTTCAACCCCGCATACGCCCGAGTCGACTCGCAAACTGAGCGTCTAGCATCCAGAAGTCGTCGCGCTGAATTGTCGCGAAATGGCGGGCTTGAGGAGAATTCCGCGTACCTTCCTCCACGACCACACGTTCACGGCGCCCGCCTTGGACTCGCCGCGCGTCAGCTGCGACACCGCCACGTGGTCGCGTCCCATTGCGCACAGCCCGCGCCGCTGCGACGAGGACGACACTAGCGACGCGAGGAGCGACCCGGTGGTGAGGTCCCAGACGCACACGGGCGAATCTACCGACGCCGCCGCCACTACGACCTCTTGCAACGCCGCCATTCGCGCGCGCGACGACGGCACGAGAATTAGAGAGCAGAGTGGCGCGCCGCGATATCTGACCGAGGGTTTGCGTCCGCTGGGGGATTCTTCGCGCGAGACGAAACGTCTCGCGCTTGGAAATCAGATACAAATCCTAGAGTCTCGCCCTGTAACTCGCAAATTGATGCGTCCAAGACGATCGCTTTCGCGCGTGATTGCGTGTGACGGAAAATCCTTTCAGAGCCAATTTACGTGAACGTCATGAGAGGGACCTTGACACCTAGAGTCCATAATGTTTGGATTTGCGCGACAACCTAGAAGAATCCGCAAGCCGTATTACTTTCGATCCGCGACGGTCTGCTACAGCCATAAACCCCAGCGTGATGCGGCGAGCAATGGCAATGCTCTAGGTCAATGCTCGCCATTCGACAACGATTGACCCGAGGGGACTGAGCTAACACTAGAAATAACCGTAGAGCAACGGATGAACAGGATGAGGAAGCTAAGGATTAGATACCGCAACAAGGCGGCAAGGCCTCTGGCTGGATGAGTGGATTCGCGCGGAGCGGCAGGTCGGAGAAAGGCGATGGCGGGAATGGAAAAGAAAGCAGTTGATGGGGAGGGGAACGAACGAACGAATGAGGGAGTGAGGCACAACAAGGCTTGTTCGCCACGCCACCATCACGCTTGCGAGGGGAGAACCATCAAGCCGACCGAGAAATTACTACTGTACACCAAGGAAGAAATGCGTTGTTCTGGCTGGCTGCTTGTGTCGGGTCTCGGCTCCACCCGTTACCGTACTGTACAGGCAGCCTGCGTCTGAGAAGAATCCCTTTCAGGGCAGTGTACAGTCCTTGTATTTTTACTGTTTTCTCTTCCATGAGTGAGGAGGATATCTTTGGGTTTTGCAGGCTTAAAGGCGGGGTGCAACTTCTTAGGAACAGTAGGCGGACAAAAGTAGCATGTGTGTAACTTGAATTCTATTGGCCGAAAACCAAAAAAGGACAAACGTCTCGGCTCTGAACTGCCTGGGTCAAACTCTTCCAAGCTATAATACCTTGAAGTTGAAGTTGAAAGTTGGGCCACGGCTTTAATGCAATTAAGTGAGCTGGCTAAACATTACTGGCCAGTCTTTTGTGGTGCGAAGACCTGGGCGTCGACCTGGACAAAGCGGCGCGGAAATTGCCAATTCCAGCACACCCAGCCTCCTCAAGCGAAGTCAGATGCACGAAAGCTAGATGCAAAATGTAACCTGACGTGTCGCAAGTTGCTGCTTGCACCCCTCGTCATGTCATGCGCCGTGATTCTTTCTGTAGGTCCCTGAAGTGGAAATTGAACTGCGAAACTCGTTTTGAAGTTACTGTATTCTTCGGGCATCCCCCTAACGTCTTGAGTTCAGAGATACGGCAGCAAGAAGAGTGCACTGCACTTCAAACCGAACCACAAACGGCAAGAGAGAAAAACATTTCTGTACAGAAACCAAGAACAGTGCCCGTTGATGAGGGCATAGGCCGCAAGTTGGCCTGGATGTGCCTCGAATTTGTGCAGTCGGCGCTCATTTCAAGAACACCGGATAGGCGGGCTGCATGTGAGTGGAACGAGTTTAAGGCATTTCGCCACATTCGCCCTTGTCGCCACGGGCAAAATTGTGATTGTAAAATGAAATTGGAATGTGAAACGAGTCTAGGGGTTCAAGTTCGTAACCAGGTAAACACGTATGGTGAAGGGCAGCCGTTGTTGTTTATGAACTGTAGATGTTTTTCTTCCTCGACTTGGTGACTGTACCCCGAAATCAGCACAATCACCACTCACAGGCAAAACGTTCGCGAGTGACTGATTTTCTAATTGTGATAAGCAAATTTTTGTGATAGGCTGAGCATCGACTGTACAACTGGCTGGTCGGGCTCTCGAGCAGCCACTTCTGTGCGCATGTGTCTGCTTGTCGCGTTCTCCGATAACCGACATAAGAGAACAGAACATGGAAGGATCCCACATAAACCTCCCAACAACACCATTATCCCTGGACAACAATTTTAGGCGTAAATCAGAGGAACCAGGGGTGGGCGAAGGGCATGCAGACGCAGGGGGGGAGTAGCAAGAAGCACACTGGGGCACAGGTGATGCAGGCTAGAGCGTGGAGACGCACATGAGTGGATAAGTTGTGTGGATAAGGAGAGTGGAGTTGGAGCTTGGGGGAGCCAAGCAGGAGAAAGGTGGGGAATCAGAATTGTCAGAGTGTTAGGGGCAAAACAAAAGCAAACACCACCCTAATACTACACCATCTCACATCCACATACCTAACCCCACAAATTACACCATAAGGCAAGGTACAACGTTCCTTCTCTTGTCCAGAACCTCCCTAAAGGGCTTGTGTCGAAGCGTTACCCACAAAGTAAAAAGGGAACAATGGTATATAAAAAAAGGGAGAAGGGTGAGGGAGGGAAGCGGGGAGAGGATTGAGGAGATAGGAGATGTTTCAAGTACCAGTAAGGTATAACGCATTGGAGACAATACCAGTAGTACCTCTGAGTCTAAGACCTCGTATGTACAATTGCAGGCTTAGGTTCTGTTGCCGTTGCTGCAGCCTTCAATGAACGGTACTGTGTCCCAGCGATGCACCTGCACACGACACAGAACAACAGCAAGCAAGGTTTGAGATGCGAACCTGCAAGGGCAAGTGAAGTGGTAGTAGGAAAAAGGCCCAACTCCAATGCCAATGCAAAAAAAAAAAAAAAAAAACAAGAGGCGACAACGTCGTCCTAGGGTTGCGAAGCGTTTTGCATTATTAACATATGTTTTACAACTTTTATTACTAACTATGGATCTCGTTTTGAATGATTACCTAACTACTTATACCGAGTCTGTAACTCAAGACTGAGATTTGCAAAATTATTCGCGTTGGGAATCGAACCTAAGACCTTCAAAATTCAAGCGAAACTTCAAAACCACTACGCTAAATGCGACGCGAAAATGTGTCCTCTAAAACGTAAAGACCAATTATTGGTCGACGAAAGACACACCTGCCAAGGGTTTCGTAAGTCCTTTTCTGCTTCGTGTCGTTCTGCTTCAACTTCTCCAGGCTACTCCATTGACGCCCCCGACTCCTATACTCAGCTACTACTACCTAGGTGAGCCTTAAGGACTAGTTTTAGACTTAAGATGATAGTGGATTCGTCTGTCTAAACCGTTTTCATTCTGTTTCAGTCGTTTAGACTTAGAAACGAGTTGTTTTTCTGCCGGATTTAATCCATTTCGACAATCGTCCAGGTCGTTCTTCCTTTTCAGCATGCAATGCCAGTTTTTCGTCTCACTTTCACATCTTTTAGATTTGCCGCATAATTCCTTCATCCATTTCGTTTCTGTTTTTCGTTTTTGTCTCAATTTCTTTGGCGCTTTGTAAATACTTTAGCTATTCTTTGTAGATAATCCTGTATCTGGTTCTTCTATTCTTCATCATGACTTCCGTTCGTTTAGTGCATCATTCCTTTTCGTATTTACACATTTTCTTCCCCTTTTTGCTCTTCTTCGGTTTAGAACCGTCATATTCTCCTAACCGCCATATTCTCGTAACCGTCATTTTTTTAAAATACATGAAGTTCTTTTGAACCGTAGTTATGAACTCTCTCTCTCTCTCTCTCTCTCTCTCTCTCTCTCTCTCTCTCTCTCTCTCTCTCTCTCTCTCGCTCTCTCTCTCTCTCTCTCTCTCGCTCTCTCTCTCTCTCTCTCTCTCTCGCTCTCTCTCTCTCTCTCTCTCTCGCTCTCTCTCTCTCTCTCTCTCTCTCTCTCTCTCTCTCTCTCTCTCTCTCTCTCTCTCTCTCTCTCTCTCTCTCTCTCTCTCTATCTATCCCATCTATATCGCCTCAACTTCTATTCCCCATTTCCCCCTTTTCGTTTCCCTATTTCCTACTTTTCAGAGGCTTTGCTATACCATTCAGGAATTGAAGGTCTTTTTTAAAGGAGGAACGATCACATTTGTGGCGATTAGGTCTAATTGTGTTGTATTGCTTGGTAGTGATCTTTTGCGTCTTCTGTGCTTTTTTTTTTTTCTTCGTAAGCTCTTTTTGCATTGACTTGTTTCGAGCTTCTGTGCGTGCGTCTGTTCGTCTCATTGCGTGCGTATGTGTCCGTATGTGTGGCATTCATCTACCATATCATTATCCATCTGTTATTTCATTAACAATGCATGTCTGTGGTTTTTAGAAATGAGAATCAATTCTATCATTTCCCGAAAATTCATTGAGTTACACTCGAACGGGTACGCTCACTTGAACTGGATTTGGTAGGTTGATCTCGTTTTTAGACTTCACAGATTGTGTTGTTTCATGTGGTAGTTGATTATTCAAAAGCTAAGCTATTGACCTCCCCCCCATGCTAGGCAGGGGATGGCGGTAGCTTAGTTTTTGGGTTGTTAACTGTCACGCATTTTATCATGTGCATGTGTATCATTCATGACATATCACATGCATTATATAGCATCATTCCATGCATTATGCATTGCATATCATCATTTATGCATTACGCATGCATCTCTTTATCATTACACGGCATCATCTAACAGTAACATATAATGCAAACAGTACAGCAAATCTACACTAAACAATTGCAAAAATATCATTTGGTTTAATGCACTATGAACAGTACCGTATTCAAAACTGCTCAACATGCATACAGTATGGGAAGGGTATTATTGTAGTTGACAAATTTTATTTTCATGATTTTATAAAAAATATAAATATGAAAATAAAATTTGGCAAAATCGATCGTAAAGGGTTGCTTCGCAACCCAAAAAAAAAAAAAAAAAAGAGAGGGAGGAAAGGGGCGAGAATATGAGAGGATTGGGGGCGGGGGGGAGAGGGAGGGGATCGATGGAAACCGGAAGCATGAGCACTCACAGGATTGACTGGGCTGTTGCTGAGCTTCTCGATGGCATGAATGCTGGTTCTCCACTGGGTAAGCCTCTGCCTGCGGACACACTCCCCTCCCGCCCCTCCTGCTCCACTATCTCCACTATCTCCACTCACACTGTCACCCCCCACACCAGCTGCTGCTACCGCTGCTCCTTCCCCTGCCCCTGCTGCTTCCTCTGCCTCGTCCTCTTTCCCTGGTATGGTTGCTGCTGCTGTGCTGGGTAGCTGCAAGCACGCGAGGGGCGGCTCAGGCTCACTGCATACCAGGCTTTTCGGCTCATTTGGTGAGAACTGCTCCGTGCTGCTCGCAGTCGTGGCGCCTCCATCAGCAGGAGTATGGGCGTGGCCATAAGCATGAGCAAGGGCATGGGCATGGGCATGGGCATGGGCATGGGCATGGGCATGTTCCGTAATGCATGGCAACAAGCAGGGTGTCTCGGGTATGGGAGCTGTGTCAGCCGTGGCATTGGAAGAGGCTGTGGCGGTGGCGGTGGTGTTGGCGGTTCTGATGCTGGTGCTTCTTCTGCTGCTACCGGCGGTGCTGATGTGGGTGTGTGTGGTGCGCGTGGTGTGCACAGGGGAATGTTCAGAGGGGCAAAGGGAGAAAGAGACGACTTCACACGGCACCTCGGACTGGCTTGCAAGGGACACCACCTGTTGTGTGCCCACGCCTGCCGATGCTTCCGGTCCCTCCACTGTCACTGCAACCATGGAAACTGTCACTGATACTAGCGCTGCTGAGGTAGCAGCAGCAGCTGCAGCAGCAGGAGTAGCATCGGCAGCAGGAGCAGCAGCAACAGAAGCAGCAGCAGGAGAAAGACACGGAAGGGGAATAAGAGGAGAGGACAGGGCAGAGCCATGTAAAGAGCGAGGGCGGGTGCGTGCACATGTGCCCCCCCAATGCATTGCCCCGTGGCTGGCAATGCGTACAGGGCCTGCCATGCCTTTACGAGACGAGCATGGGGACTCAAGAGGTGCTGAGGGGCGCAATGCAGCAGCTTCAATGGCACTGCCAGGACGGTCAATACTACTAGAGGCAGTGGCACCCCCAGTGGCAACGCCAGGAGCAGAGGCAGGAGCAGAGCAAATGCCAGCGCTTGTTGCAGGGAAAGGAGTGACTGAGGAGGTGGCGGCAGCCCCAGTGGCAGTGCCGGTGGCAATGTCAGTGCGAGTGGGAGTGACAGCAGCAAAGCCAGAGCCAGTGCCAGTGCCAGCGGCGGTACAGCTGGTTGCGAGGGCGAGCAAGTGAAGGGACTGCAACACATCCTCCTCCTCTTCCCCCTCCACATCGCCACACTCTTGTCGTTCCACATCCTCCTGCTCCTCCTGCTCCTCCTGCTCCTCCTGCTCCTCCTGCTTTTGCTGCTCCTCCTGCTTCTGCTCCTCCTCCTGCTCCTTCTCCACTTCCATTGCAGAACCCCTGCCAACCGCAACCTCCTTCCCTTTACCCTCACTTCGCCCTTGCTGTTGCCCCACACCCATTTCCACCCCAGAGCCTTCTCCATTCCCTCCCTTGCCCTCTTCCATGTCACCTCTACCCCCCTCACCGTCCCCACACTCTCCCTCCCCCATCTTTCCCCCCCGTCCCCCCTCGCTGAAGATTTCACCATTGCGCCTCCTACCCAAGCCCTCCATAAACCCACTCGTTCCTATTCCTAACCCCGCCACCACTTTCCTTTGACCTAGTGCTTTCCGTTGCGATGGGAGGAAGGGCCTGGTGCGGGCAGCAGACCCCTCTGCTGCGCGTATGCACTCTCCTTGCATCCCCAGCTGCGCCTTGCCATTCGCATCGGTGGTACCCAGGGGTGCTGGCGCATCCACTTGACTGCTTAATTCCTCCCGCTCAGCCTCAATCGCCCCTTCCCCTGCTGCTGCTCCTCCTGCTCCTGTACCTTCTCCTGCTGCTGCTGCTGCTGCTGCTCCCCCTCCTCCTCCTCCTGCTTCTCCTGCCGCAGTTGCATCCCTGACGAAGTCCTTGAGGCTCTGTAACGTGTGCACTTCCTCCTGCCTGCCACTCTCCACGCCCTTGACTGGAACAAACTCGCCAAACTCTCCTTCACAACCAGCCAACTGGCCTGCCGCCCCTCCTCTCCTCCGAACCCCCAGCTCCGTCACTGCAGCAGTAACACCCGCCCCTTCTTCGCCCCTGCAAGGCTCCCACACGCCCTCTTCTCCACTCCCTTCCACCACCACTTGCATCATCAGGCCTTCTCCTCCTGCCTCTCCGTTGATCTCTTTCGATGCGTGCCTGCCCGATCGGCCCTTCTGCTTGCCCCACGCCATGAGCACATGGGTGCGTGCACTCCACATGCCATCACTCGCACTCGCAACCCCACTCTTGCTTGCCACTGCACCTGCTCCTGCTGCTGCTCTTGCTGCTACTCCTGCTGTTTCCTCACCTTCAACCTCCATCTCCACCACTCCCACAGCCTCCTCCCCACTCTTCCCCCCACCATTCTCTCGCCTTTGCCCAGCCTGAGAATCAGGATAGAACCCCACTCGCACCTGCACTCTACAGTCCCTCGCCTTGCCCTGCCACACTCGCATTCTCGACCCCACCACCTCCCCTTCCTCCCCTCCTCTTATGCTTCCCGCACTCTCCCCATCTAGAACCGCCACAGCTGCACACCCCTCCTCACCAGAGCTCCCCTTTTGCTGGCCCTTGTTGCTCAGGCTACCCACACACTGGTTTGCTCCCCCCTGTTCCCCTGCTTCCCCCACTTCAGCTAGGCCATGGGCACGATTGCATTCAGTCTGCTGCTCATGGGGAGACCCATCCGCCATTCTAGCAGCGAGTCCGCTCTCTGGCCCTCCCTGCACAAGTGCATCCCCGCCCCTGCCTTCCTCCTCCGAAGGCCCAACACAAGGCTCATGTGCACCTGCCCGCCCATGCCTCCTGCTGCTGCTGCTGCTGCTTCTGCTGCTTCCTCTACACATGCCCACTCAAGCGCAGGTGCAGGTGCATGCACAGGTGCACATGCACCTGCATGAGCATCTGCATGTGTATGTGCACGTGCCAGCGTCAGTTGACTCGCATGACTGGCAGGCAACGCATCGTCCGAATCCCATAGCGCCACCTCAACAGCGGCACTCAGAGCAAACAACCCGTCCAACCCTGCACCCCCATCCACTCCACACTTCCCACCCATACTCCCACCCTCACCAGAAGCATCAGCAACCCCAGAGGTCCCAGCCACCCCAGAGTTCCCAGCCACAACCCCAGAATCCCCGCCTTGCAAACAGCACTGCAGGGGGTCTAAAAACCTTGTCTCCATCCCGTCTGCCTCGCCTTTCTCCTCCCAACCGCACTCCATACCCTTGACCACCCCCGGCCTGCTCCCGAGCGGCTTGAGTGTGCTCTGCCTGGGTCCACACGGCAGTGCACGGGCACAAGAGCCCACGTCCCCCTCTCTCGCTCCCTCATCACCCCCCTGGTCGCTTCCACACATGCGCTCACTCCTGCACCCACTTCTTCTCACCCCACTCTTGCCATAATCGCAATCCATTGGGATTGCCTTGTCCCCCTGCTGTTGTGGACAAGCGTCATCATAATCGCGCCTCGTGCTACCCAGGTCCTCGCTCCGTTCCAATAATGCCAACTCTACGCCCCCACTCCCAGACTGCCCGCCAAAACAACCTTGCACGTCCACGCCTCCCCCCTGCACACTCAGAACAGTGAACTCCGGCCCTCCCCTCCACAGCAGCGGCTGCTGCTCCTGCTCCCGCTCCCGCTCCCGCTCCTGCCCCTGCTGCTCTTGCTGCACGCACTCCTGTAGATGCTGCTGCTCCAGTCCCACTCCGCTACAGTCCTCCAGTGCAAATTCCAGCACCACCTGTACCTGCACTGATTGCCCCCTGTCGCCCATCTCCCCACCATCACACCCCACCACACCAACTATCCCCACGTCTACATCCACGCACCCAGCACCATCCCCACAGCAGAACCTTTGAATAGCGCTCCCCTGTCCCTCTCCTTCCCCTTCTTCTTCTTCTTCGTCCCCTTCCCCTCCCCTTCTCCATCTCCCGCCCCCACTCCTCCCACGGCATCGCCCACGGCAGCAGCATCAGCAGAAGGAGCAACGCAATTCCGGACCTCCAGAGCAGCACGGGCATCACAAGCCAGGGAGTGCTGCCGCATCTTCTCCATTACAAGCTCCTGTGCGGACTGCAGAGGAACAAGGGCCTGCTGAGACTCAACAGCAACCTCGCCCACACCGTGGTGCACAACCTCAGCCATAATATCCCCCACGGCTTCGACCACAAAGGGAAGGCTAGCAGGCACAGCTGCTCCGCGCCCTTGCTCACCTTCACTAGCTTCCACCTGCAGCCGCTCGCTCTGGTCTCCCTTCTCGCCCTCTCCTTCTTTGCCCCCCTCTACCACACGCAATTGCGCTGCCACCACTGGCCTAATCGCCACTGCATCTGTTCCACAAGCCAACAGCGCTGTCGCTGCCCCGTCCCTGCCGTCCCCGACCCTTCTACTGCTGCTGCAGCTGCTGCTATATCGGCAACGTTCTCAGGACCAGCAGGGTTTATGTTCACAGCACTCAAACTAGCAGCCGCGCAAGTGGCAACAGCAACTACACAGCCCCGTGGATCGGAAGGAGCCAGAGACCCAGCAGCAGCACACATTGCCCCAGCATCAGTTGCCGCCTCTGGAAATAACAGGACCTGGCCCAACAGTCCCTCCCTTTCACCTCCCGCTTCCCGGCAGTACACTGCATGATGTTGCTGCTTCTCGCTGCTCACCACTCGTTTCCCCTCCCCACTCGCTTCTGCTTCTTTAGTTGCAAATGAATCACCACATTCAACAGGCTCTCGTTTGACTGATGCCTGCTGCTCCAAAACTTCTTCTTGCTTCAGCCCTGCGTCTTGCCTGTTGTTCCCTTTACGCCCTGCACTTGTCTCCCCTGTGGCTTCAGCTTCCGGGCTGGCAGGTCCGTATGGCACGCTAAACCCTCCTAAACCCCTTCTGTTGTTGGCAGCATCTCTCCCTTACGCGTCTGCTCCAGGAGTATTTCACAATGCTGCTGCTCCCCGCCCAAACCAGCATCCTCCTTTCCTGCCAAACCACACGGCGCCATCGCCACTCCTGTGTCTGCCACTGCTAAACCCACACCCTCCTCCTTCACAAGACCACCCTCCTTCCCCAAAACCCAGAACCCTCGACAGTCTCCACCTCCATCCCTCCATTCCCCCGCCTCTTCCGCCTTGACCCCTACCAGCCCTACCTTCGCCTCCTCTTCCCGTTCCAACCTCGCCCGCCTCCCACCATCAAAACCAGCCCGTTCAGCCTGCGACAGCCGAGCTAATATTTGCCTCCCTTTCAGTTGCCCTGCCACGGAATGCACTCGCGCCCTCGCACATCCCCTCCCCGCGCCCTTCCCCACCACCGTCTCCTCCACGCCCGGCGCATCCCACCCATCCGCGTCCCTCCTCCGCCCTTTCTCCCTCCTCGTCCGCCTCTTTTGAGGCAGCAACACCATTCTCTCGCACCTACCGCCCTTTCTCCCACCGCCTCCTCCCACCCACACCATCGCACATCTCCTCCTCTCCTCCTGCCCTCTCCCGCTCCCCTTCGCCCCACCCTCCTCCCACTGCCACAATGACCTGCGATTCCCCTTGCCACCCCGCCACTTCCCGTCCCTACCTCGTCACTCTCCCCCTCCTCGTCCCCTTCCCTCTTCCCCTCCCTCCAACCTCCCCAGGACGACGTGAGTGGCCAGCACTCAAGTCGCCGCCACTAGAATCGCCGCCAGAATCACTGTGTGATGACTGTAAGCACGCCTGCGGATCCACGTCTAGCAAACGAACGCCCTCTAGATCTACAGGCGGGTCTGGCTCGCACGAGTGGTGGGAGAAGAAGCGCGCTGACAGATGCTGGCAGGGGGGCGCGCACGCGGGCGCTTGCATGGGCAGCCGCGAAGGGGTACCGTGGTCTGTAAGACTGCCTGGAGGAGCCACGGAAGCAGCAGCTGTGAAAGCGGTGGCAGTGACAGCAGTGGAAGGAACGTGAGGCGCAGCAGTGACAGCAGTGGCAGCGGCGCAAAGAGCAGCGTCAGTTCCCGGAAGGGGAGTGTCAAGCAGCAGTAAGGAGAGGTCAGCAGGGGCTGTGATGCGGTAGTGCCCCACATCCGCCTCGAACATCTGCCACAACAACAGGGCATGAGCCTGTGGAAAGGCCAGAGATATCATTGCAAGGGAGAGGGGAGGTAGGGGGTTTAGGGTTTCTTCTTGTGACATGCTGGTGTGTGTGTGTGTATCTGGTGGCAAACCAAAGGCTGGGTTTTCATTTATGCATTGATGTCTTGATGAACATTGCACCCGTTGAACCGGGGGCAGCAGCAGCAGCAGCAGCAGAAGGAACCGGCACCAAAGGAAAAGGCAGCAACTCGCATTTCGAGGCAACTTTGTAACATTTCAAGACATCCCAAAACATTTCAAGACAGTTCAAGATTCGTGCTGCCAGGAGGGAGGAAGCAAGTGGCAGGAGCCAGGCAGCAGGCAGCTTACACGGAGGCAGTATCCAGCGGGGAGGCAGCGCGTGGCATCGGCGAACACAGCGCGCACATCGTCCACGAACGATGGAGGATCCGCGTAGTACCCCGAGCTCAGCCGCGCCTGGCAGTACGGGAGAGGTTTTGAGCGTGTGGTGCAGCATGTGGGGGATGGTGGGATGTGACAGCAGGGTTTTAGAACACGCAGTGCAGCATGTAGAGCATGGACGAGACGAGGCAGTGGTGTTTTGAGTCACCCTAAACCCTTAAAGATCATATGGTGGTATGCACGGGGCAGCGGGTATTATTGCCGGGATGGCGGTCCACCTTCAATGACAGAACATAGGTGGGCGGCGTGGGGGAGCGCGAACGAGGGGAGGGGGACAGGGGAGGCGAGGGGTAGGGCAGTGCAGAGCACTAGCAGGAGAGAAAAGCGGACAGGGACGGATGGGGATGGAGACGGGTGGGGTCGGGGTGGGATGGGTTGGGGATGGGATGGGATGGGAATGCAGCAGGGCGGGGTGGGCGGGGTGGAGAGAGAGAGAGTGAGGGACCTGTATAACGGAGAGGTCTGTTGGGCGGTCGACCGTGGCAGCATAGCAGCGCCGGGCCTCTTCTGGCCAGAGATCCGAGGACGCCACTGGGGAGCTGAAGAAACTGCCGATGCTGGTGCACGGTGAACGAACACAAGGGGCAGGGAGGAAGCAGCACCACACGCAGCTGAAAACGCATTAAGGCGTCAACACTGGTGTTCCAAACAGGTGGCGCGCCTTGGTCAAGCAGAAACGGCTGCGGAGCAGGCGAGGGGACGAGAGAATATCCGCTAGTAGGTTTATGGCACACCCACCCCGGGCAGCTGCAAGTGCACCTGGGCAGCTGCAAGTGCACAGCAGTGCCCACGACCACAACCACAACCGTACAGTCAACCAAGAGACGACCACACGACAAGGACGAGATGACTACCTCTAAGCTGTAACCCACCAGCCAGCCCTTGTGGTCCGGCCCACGGCACAGACCTGTGGTTCCGCAGGCGCAGCAGCAGGATGGCGCATCGCTGCAGGTCGCTCACTTCACCGTCGTCGTCAGCTGCAGCGGCGTCGTCCTCTCGGCGACCCCCCATGCCTGCATATGCGTGCTTCCCATGCCTCTGCCGCTGCTCCTTCACGTGCTGCTGCTGCTGCTGCTGCTGCTGCTGCTGCTGCTGCTGCTGCTGCTGCTGCGGATGATGTTGCTGTAGCTGCTGCTGCTGCTGCTGCTGCTGTCGCCGTCGCCTCTTCGCGCATGAAATGAGCGAGATGTCCTGCTAACAAGTGCGAGGAAGGATAGCGGGTTCAAGAGGGAAGAAACGCGAGGAGGACTCACTAGGTGCTGCCATAAAAGAATGCCCAGATTTTGAATCTGCGACTTCAGAGGAACCTTCGCCATCAAAAGCGGTTCAGCCACTCCGCCCCCCCCCCCCCACGATTTCCGTTCTCCTCTATCGACCCTACAAGCACTACCCACATAAACCCCTACCCCCCTTCTCCCCTTTCCCCTGCCTTCGTCCTCCGAGCCCCCCTTCCCACCCTATTCCCACGTTTTCCCACGGGCTACCCAACGTTCTCCTTCATCCCAGCGTTAAACCCTAGCAACTATATGAACCCACACTGACCCCGGCGGCATACCGTAAACGCCTCAGGACCGCAACAGGCAAAACCCCTGGTCCCCCATGAGAATGACCCACCTGTTCGATCTCCTCCAGCTGAAGAGTCACTTGGCAGAACGGCCGCTTGTAACCCCACCGCTTCTCCTTCCCCTTCCCCCCTGCGCCTGCTGCTGCCCCACCAGCCACCTCCTCCTTTACTGCCACGTCAGCCACTTCCGCGTTTGCTGGACCAGCAACAACTGCGGGCCATTGGATGGCGCGAGCGCACTGCCCTTGCACCTGAGTCGATACATCGGTCGAAATAACCGAAGTGCTAATACCGCCTAGCGCGTAAGCCTGTGACGCTCCCTGCGCGGGCAACGCGGGCCTGGCCGACACGGGTGCGTTACAAGCAGTCGCGATAGAGAAGCCTTCTTCTGCTACTACGGCCTGGTAGGCAGCTCTCGGTCTCCTACGGCTGTACCTGCACGCAAACCGTCCCAGGTGCGTAAACCCTCAGCCTCGACCATGCATGGTGGACGAAAACTAAACACACACAGAAGTAAAGAGGTGCCACGACACACTTACACGTATTGAGGGAGGACGTCGACAGTCGATGGGGCCACGGCGGAACTTTCTGGCCCATTCTGCTCACAAGCATTATCGCCTGGGCTATCAGCCAAAGATGTCTCTTTATCTATTCCCACAGTTTCCTCTGGTTCAACTGGTTTAGTTACCACCGCCGTCGGCTGCTCTACACCCTGAACCTCGTCGACAATGAGCTTGGAACACGGCTGCACCTGGAGAATAATACCGTTTTTTCCCCGTTCAGACGTAACCTCGGCAGGATCGATGGGAAAGTCGTCAACAGCGTCCTCCGCGCCGCTGCAGTCGGTTTCTGTGCGAACGCTGTCGCTGTCGCCGCTGCTGAGACTTTCTCCGTCGGAGGTTTGCCCAGAAACGGTCCCAAAGTCAACGGCCAGGAGTTCCCAGGGTTCACTGCGGGATGGGAGAGGTGAGAGAGGACATATTGGTGAGAGAATGTTGACAAGAACGAGGAGAGCACGACAGCTCGGAAACAGCAAACGCATAACGCAGACCAGGAAGCTCGTCGAGGCCAGGAATTTCCGAAGCTGAGCGTAAATAACCGTATCTTAAGAAATATTGCATCCTTAGATTTGCCAAGCTGCTATGACGGTTGCTAGGTAGCTGCGGAAGTCAGGTCAAGAGTAGAATGTGTGATGCATCGCGTACCACATGCAATCTGGGGACCATATTGAGGCTGTTGGTGGAGCAGGTGTTGCCAGGCCGGCGTGCAGAGCCATTGTTCAACGATAGAACCAGAAACCAAGCACGAGAATCTGGCAAGCGGTTTACTACAGTCTGCTCGCGAGGTTATTCGTCGTTGGAAGCTCGAGATGTGCGAGCGGAACAGAGATGCTGCAATGTCAATCTACATCCTGACCAAATTCTGAGAAACAAATGTGGAGGGAAAAGGCTAGCTTGGAACGCGGATGAATGCCACTGGAGGGGTGCTGCTGGTGCTGCTGATTCAAACCCTACCACACCGGCCCAGGGTTCGTTTGAGGGGAAACTGTTCCCAAGGCGGAAACGAACCAGGAGGTTTGGTCCCGGTGAGGGTGTCCGATTGGCCCGAAACGAGTGTCTGGATGTCTGTTCGGGAGGTGTGAAACACGGTTACATGAGTTCAGCAACGTTCGGCAGAGGTTCTGTAAGTCCGAACCAAGAGTGTGGTTCTGGCTCGTACTAGGTTTCGGTTTGGGCTAGAAGGGATGATAGCTGTGTGGTTCGAGCAGATGAGCAGGCGGCGCAACCAACCAAAATGGTTTGCAACTGTCTAGGGCCAAGTCAGTTCAGCTTCCCTGATTTGACAAGCAGAATCTGGCCTCGTTGCCTCGCGAGATGCAGAAAGACCTTGGGCTTCTATCCAAAAAGCGAAGGTAGGCGGACCAATGGTGTGCGTGAGCGAAGGTGGAGAAGCATCTTCTACAGTAGTTTCTGAGCAGACTTACTGTTCCGTATGATCCATTCCCTTCATGGTCGTGGCGTGCCATGGTTCAACAACAGCAAGACAGACACCCCCCAACGACCACCCATCGAAATCTGCTCCTGTACATCCATCCAAGGGTTGTGTGGAAGTAACCCATCCAAGCCACGACGTCGGAACAGGCTTCCTGGGATTCGGTTGGACAGGGTGATCCTCATCCACCATACGTGGAAATTGATCATCCGATTGGTTGTTGATCTCCTAAACAATCAGTTCCTGAGCAGTCATCCTGGGCTGACATGAGGTGAGGAGCGGAACTCACGCTGAGGCGGAAGTCAAGCTGTGGAATTGTTTGTAACATCCACATACAAAGGACCACGTGCTCTATGCGCTACCGCACATTGGTCAGGGAATGGGATGGTGTTTTTTTTTGGGTTGCGAAGCAACCCTTTACGATCGATTTTGCCAAACTTATTTTCATATTTATATTTTTTAAAATCATGGAAATAGAATCTGTCAACTACAGTAATACCCTTCCCATACTGTATGCATGTTGAGCAATTTTGAATACGGTCCTGTTTGTAGTTCATTAAACCATATGATTTGCTGTACAGTTTCCATTATATGTTACTATTAAATGATGTTGTGTAATGATAAAGAGATGCATGCGTAATGCATAAATGATGCTATACAATGCATAATGCATAGAATGATGCTATATAATGCATGTGATATGTCATGAATGATGCACATGCACATGATAAAATGCGTGATAGTTAACAACCCAAAAACTAAGCTACCGCCATCCCCTGCCTAGCATGGGGGGGAGGTCAATAGCTTAGCTTTTGAATAATCAACTATCACATGAAACAACACAATCTGTGAAGTCTAAAAACGAGATCAACCTACCAAATCCAGTTCAAGTGAGCGTACCCGTTCGAGTGTAACTCAATGAACCTTTGGGAAATGATAGAACTGATTCTCATTTCTAAAAACCACAGACATGCATTGTTAATGAAATAATAGATGGATAATGATATGGTAGATGAATGCCACACATACGGACACATACGCACGCAATCAGACGGAGACACGCACGCATAGAAGTTCGGAACAAGCCAATGCAAAAAGAACTTACGAAGGAAAAAAAAAACACAGAATATGCAAAAAATCACTACCAAGCAATACAACACAATTAGTCCTAATCGCCACAAATGTGATCGTTCCTCCTTTAACAAGGACCTTCAATTCCTGAATGGTACAGCAAAGCTTCTGAAAAGTAGGAAATAGGGAAATGAAAGGGGGGAAATGGGGAATAAGAGTTGAGGGGATATAGATGGCGACTTTGAGAAAAAAAAGGACTGCAGGCACAAAGAGAGAGAGAGGTGTGTGAGAGAGAGAGAGAGAGAGAGAGAGAGAGAGAGAGAGAGAGAGAGAGAGAGAGAGAGAGAGAGAGAGAGAGAGAGAGAGAGAGAGAGAGAGAGAGAGAGAGAGAGAGAGAGAGAGAGAGAGCGAGAGAGAGAGAGAGAGAGAGAGAGAGAGAGAGAGAGAGAGAGAGAGAGAGAGAGAGAGAGAGAGAGAGAGAGAGAGAGAACGAGAGAGAAAACGAGAACAAGAGAGAGAGACGAGAGAGACGAACGAGAGAAAGAGTTCATTAAATTACGATTTTTACGATTTGGAAAAAAAATGTGTAAAAAACAAGATCTAAGCCGACCTAGTTTAGATCTAAGTCGTCCTATGTTAGAATTATAGTCGACCTAACAAGTATCAAACGAGTTTAAGTTGCAAGTTAGGAGCTTACCTAGCGGAAGTCCCGTAGCCCGTCAGCAGAACGAGAGAAAGTAGGAGAGGGAGGGCTAATCAAGAAAAAGAAGTAAATGACGACAATAAAAGCTTACATCTTACCATGGGCTAACAACTCTAAATGACATCTTAAACTTTCTGACCTTAGAGTGGTAGGTGGAGCGTAAGTAGCGTGAGGCAAACGAACAAGCTCCACAGGCGAGAAGAAAAGAGAAAGAGAAAACGAATACATAGAACCTAGAACCTAGGCTTAATCAACTGATTTTAAAAAACGTGGCCAACACAAGAGTAAACAACTATGGTACGAGATTAAGACATGCTAGTCTCGCTAGTAATCATGTAACTTAATTCCACTTGAAACGGTAAGGTAGAGTTGTTCTCACCTTAGTAGGAACCGGTAGGTGGGGCGTGAGTAGTGGGGAGCTAAACCAGCGAGCAGAAAGGAGGGAGAAAGAAAGGAAGAGCAAACCCTAACAAAGAGTCAGATTCGTCGTATTAACATTAATATATAAATTGTCGTTGCAGTTCTGAGCAGTAGCGCTAGTGCAGTCGTAAGAGGAAAAGCGTTAGAACCGAAAGTACCAGGATCGAATCTTGCGGAAGTACTTACAAACGTGTAGAAATTTGTGTACTTATCTTGTCAAACATTGTATGTTTATATTGTGTAGGCTATAGTGGGTCTAGCCTTAGAGGGTACACAAACTTAGGGTTTCATACTTGTACCCACCTTCCTGCTAGTTCATCCATTCCTCGTTCAGTTATTCTGACATGGTTTCAGAGCAGGTCCTTCGCTAGGACCTAAGTTTTTTTTTCGGGCCCACCTCTACTAACTACTTCCTAGCGCCTTAGTGCGCCCTACTGTCGGAGTGCTGCGTTAGCGCCTCCCCCTCTGCGCCCTTGTGCGCTCTACCTTACGTGCGCCCTCGTGCGCCCTCGTGCGCCCTCGTGCGCCCTCGTGCGCCTTTCTCTGCTAGTGCGCCTTCGTGCGCCCTCGTGCGCCCTCGTGCGCCCTCGTACGCCCTCGTGCGCCCTCGTGCACTCTCGAGCTGCCCCTGCAGGTCCGTCAGGCCAGTGCGCAGCCTCTGCACGACCGCACGCCGCCCCTGCAGGCTCTCGCCGCCCGCCGCGTCGCCCTGCCCGTGGCGTCACCGCCTCCCCGCGGCGTCGTCGCCTGCCCGCGACGTAGCCCCTGTCCGCGGCGTCGTCGCCTGCCCGCGGCGCCGTCGCCTGCCCGCGGCGTCGTCGCCTGCCCGCGACGTCGTCGCCTGCCCGCGGCGTCGTCGCCTGCCCGCGACATCGGCGCCTGCCCGCGGCGTCGTCGCCTGCTCGCGGCGTCGTCGCCTGCTCGCGGCGTCGTCGCCTGCCTGCGGCGTCGTCGCCTGCCCGCGGCGTCGTCGCCTGCCCGCGACGTCGTCGCCTGCCCGCGGCGTCGTCCCCTGCCCGCCGCGTCGCCCTGCCCGCGGCGTCGCCACCTGCCCGCCGCGTCGACCTGCCCGCGGCGTCGCCACCTGCCCGCCGCGTCGCCCTGCCCGCGGCGTCGCCACCTGCCCGCCGCGTCGCCACCTGCCCGCCGCGTCGCCCTTCTCGCCGCGTCGCCCTGACCTAATCCGCCTCTCGCCCCTGGAGCAGCCGCCACTGCAGCAGCAGCCCCTGGAGCAGCCGCCACTGCAGCAGCAGCCCCTGGAGCCGCCCGCCACTGCAGTAGCAGCCCCTGGAGCCGCCCGCCACTGCAGCAGCAGCCCCTGGAGCCGCTCGCCACTGCAGCAGCCGCCCCTGGAGCCGCCTGCCACTGCAGCGGCCCCCTCTGGAGCAGCACGTACCTGCAGCAGCCGCCCCTGGAGCAGCCCGCACCTGCAGCAGCTGCCCCTGGCCCCTGGAGCAACCACAGCTGCAGCAGCCGCCCCTGGCCCCTGGAGCCGCCGCCACTGCAGCAGCCGCCCCTGGCACCTGGAGCAGCTGCCGTCGCGGCCCGGCCTCGCCCTGCAGCAGCTGCCGCGGAGCTCCCTGCTACGGCCCGGCCCAGCCCTGCAGTTGTAGCGGCCCCGCTGTCGCCACCGTCTTGCGCTTGCCGCGCCGACCACTGGTGAGCATTGCCCAGCACTGCTACCGCTGCTACTGCTGCTACTGCCTTTTCTACTCCCACTGCTGCCGCTACTGCTACTACTGCTGCTCCTGGCGTGGCCAGATGCAGCTCCAGGGCCGTGCGCGTGAGTCCCTCACGCCCCAGCAGCTTCGTGCGCGTGAGTGGTACACTAGTCGGGGCTGTCGGGGTGGCCGTAGTGGTGGTCGCTCTGGAGTGGGTCGGTCGGGAGCTTCTGGTAGTGGACAGGTGCAGCTGCCGTGTCCTCCTTCGCCCCAGGTGCTTCGTGCGCGTGAGTGGTACGCTAGTTGGGGCTGTCGAGGTGGCCGTAGTGGTAGTCGCTCTGGAGTGGATCGACCGGGAGCTTCTGGTAGTGGACAGGTGCAGCTGCCGTGTCCTCCTTCGCCCCAGGTGCTTCGTGCGCGTGAGTGGTA